TCGAAGCAAACAGCCACTGAATTCCATCTTCAGTTACCATCAGAACACTCTAATTCCATCAGTAGTGTAATATGTCACTAGTACCATCTGCAGTTTAGAGCTGTTTGCTTGTCAGTGCCGTAGTCTTGGGGTAGGGTAGAAAGTTTATCCATCACCAGGTGTGACCAGAAATTATTAGTATGTACAAATGTTGAGGGCTAAGGTCACTCACAGCACAATGCCAACTGTGCATGTAGTGACTTGCTCCTTATATAGTTCCATCTTTAAAGTCTGCAAGAGTTGTGCCTTTTGTGCATTTCTGATTTCTTGGAAGATATCGTAGGGCTTTATGTACCTAACACCATCTCTGCCCTCAAAAGGAAACTTGGTATTCTCAAACCTGTAAAACATCTGTGGTATTTTGGATCAACATCCTTCTGAGGGGTGTACATGAACCTTAATTTATACCATCATTACGATATTGACAATCCAGGATAGTTCATCAATCCTAAATGTACAGAAAGTGTCATCACGGCGATACTCTGCTTGCTTTCAGAGAGCATCAAGCATCCAAGATCTAATGCGTGTCCTCAACACAGCGAAACAAAATTGTGTAACATCAGTTGACTTGTAATGTTCATGAGAATCAAAACACATGTCAATAGCACCATCAATCTTCCAGGTTGGTGTTCCATCTTCTAGCCTGGAAGGCTGACATTGTTTTGTTTTTATGAGCATACCACCAACAAGTTTGTATTTCTGGTCCATATCACCAGGCTTCTCCATGACCAGTCTAGCCTAAACGATCTCCTTTGGCAAGCATGCATTAGTCCTGCGACAGAAAACACCCTAAGACAGACCTGCAGCATAAGAGATCTTTCAAGGATATCTTTCAGATCTCTTTCTACAGTTGTTTTCTTAGGGTTCAGAGTGTCAACATTCCCTTGTATGGGCATTCTACTGTTTCTCCAGCTAACAGTTAACTGGAAACAGCAACAGAAATTCCATCATTAGTCAACTGCAATTCCACCTGCAGTTGGCTGTCTTGCTGTTTACTTATAATGTCCATTACTGACTGCCATCCTTCTCTCAACTGTAATAACACCAACAGTTACATGAGCATTAACAGCAACTCAATTTCCATCTTTACAACTGCAATTCCACCAGCAGTTTACTAGCTGTGATACCATCAACATGCAGCTCCTGTGCTGTTAATGCAGATTTTCTTCCATTTGAAACTGTAAATGACATCAACAGTTTCTCACAAACAGCGACTGAAATTCCATCTTCAGTTACAAAACTGCAGTAACATCAGCAGTTTGCTGTTTATTCTTTGATTTCCTCCATCCAAAACTGTTGTAACATCCACAGTTACAGTGAACAGCATCTGAATAAATACCATCAGCAGTTTTTGGCTGTTCACTGGTCAATGCTCATTTTTGCTCCCAGGGTCCGCTCAACCCGTTTGCTCACGTTTGCCTCCACAGCCGTTCTTGGCCACCAACATGTTCCCTACCAAGTCACCTCAAAAGGCCCCCTCCACTAACATCTGGCCTTTTGAGTGACATGAGGGGGACGCCCGTCCAATCCCAGTGCGTGCTAGTGACACCACTGGCCGATGATTGGACCCACAGTGTATCACTCCACTGCTCTGACTGGTCAATCGCGCACCCTCCACAGTAACATCTTACGTGTGATTGGTCAGCAGACTGTGTGACTGACATACAGGAACATCTGACACAGAGTGTCAATGTTTGTCCAGAGCCAGGTCTTTCGATAAGACCTTGCTGCTACGTATTCGGCCGTAAGACTAGGGATTAACCCCATACAAATCCCACTGCCTCTATATTAAACTTTGCTGATTTGTTTATGAATGCATTGAACCTTTCTGACCCTTATGCATCTCCAGTGAGGCAACAGTCAATAATTTACAACAGGGTAGTCTACATGCTCATGGAGATTGGGAGATTCAAACATCAAATCCGTTTCCATTTGGGTCTGAAACATCAATCATTTCAGGGTTCATAAAAAGTAAATGCCAAATACAGACAACCTGGTCATCATTGTTGTGTTTCATTTCTTCAGAATTTGGTGATTTACTTCAACACATCAATAACAAGTTGATGTACTTTCCCCTAGCTGGCCAATGTGCTTGTAGCGATACAAGTATACATGTATGTGCTTCTCTTGGGCTCAGAAACATCATGCCTTTGAGGATTAATTAACAACAAAAATCCAAATGGTTAAATCCATTTAAAAAAAAAATAATAAAAAAAAAATCTCACGCTGCTACAGCTCAAATTGTACCTTCACTGCCAGCTGCTCATTGAAGCTTTAAAGTGCAGATAACAGTGCACATTTCATAAATGTCAGACCCACTGGTTAGCGATACGCTGCTGAAATAGTACAATACAATGTGTACTATTCTTCCATCTTCTGGTTCACTAGTTACCAGGAGATTACATATCCAGAAGTACAGTTTTGTACCTTATTTTATTTATCACATTACCCAAGAGCTGGAGTATATCAAACTTCATCAAAGTTCTGGAAATAAATCAACATAAAACAATTCAGATATTCCATGTGCAGGAGTATCTCATCTTTTGGGGGATTAAAAAACTATTACAGCAGAATCACTCTGATTGCCACAATTGGACAGATATGTGATGTTAAGGCATTTTAACACACCACACAGTTTATTTTTGTTTGTTGTTGTTTGGAAAGCTTGCCATATTTTTCCCAGATCATCTCATTTCCGATTGGTTTATTGTGTATAAGATCCAAGCCATGTGAGTCTCGGTGATTTAGTCTTTCAAACTGTACTTGAACAAAATAGAGATTTTGTAAAATTCAAATTTAAAAAGGTATTTTCCTGTAATCCAATTTTCATCTGTGTTCTAATACATTCCAGGCTCTTTCACATATTTATGTTTTCCTCAAAGGTATTTTGTAACATATTCAAAGGATTTTGAGATCATGGATTAGATACATAATTACATCTAAAACTAATTAGGTGAACCAAATTCTCTATAGTTCTCGTATAAAAATGCAAGTACATGTGAATGCACAAATGTAAAATGACTTAAATCTTGGGATTATGACCATGGCTTTTCACAATTAACAATTATTTCAAACTCACCAATTTATAGTCTAGGCCAGATTAATGTCTGATCTAAGATCAAAACTGTTCCTGAGCTGAGAGCCATTAATTATGATCAGCTAAGTAAGACTGTTTAGAATCAGACAAATCTGTAGAAACCACATCTGATCCAGCCATCTGTTCAATCCGGTTGCTGTCAGCAAAAAAAATTTTTAGATCTATTAATTTGGAATTAAAAAAATCAACTTATGTATGGCAAGCATGCAATGCACCTTATGTGGCAAAGGTGTTTTTATGTAGACTTTTTTTATATTGAGACGAGCCTGATAGGCATAATTTCAGGTTGGCCATTTCATAAAAGTTGTCTTAGGAATCCAATCTCAAAAAAGCTTTAAAAATCTTGGGTTAGAAACAGTTCAGAAATATATAAAATTGTAACGATAAATTAATCAAAGTGGAACACCAGAAAATGAACACAAACCTCAATTTAATCTTTTCCAATCTCAAGAAAAGCTTAAAAAATCTTGGGTAAGAGATAGTTCACAAAACTCTAGCATTATGAATATAAACTAAGTGAAGTGGAAAACAGAAATGAACACACGCTTCAATATTATCTTTTTCAATTGCAACTAGTAACTCTATCTTAAGACAACTTTTATGATAAACCGGACAATGAATTTGAATAAAAAACATTCCTGTTTCTCCATTCAAAGGAGTTTTCCATTAGGGGTTCCAAAAATTGAAATTACTGGATTTTTAATTCATAATAAACTATGCAGTTATTGGTAGGAATTATGGCCAATAATAACCTGATACAAAAAAACGATTTGTAAAAAAAATGGGTCTGACTAAATAAATAAATAAATAAAAAAACTGTCCATTTTGTGTGCATTATTTGGTGGTATTGTGCCGTCCTGTCACAATTTATTATGCCAATTTAACCGATCAGTATCTTTTAAATTGACAAAGCTAAAGCATCATAAATAAAACACCAGAACTGAAACAAAACCAGGCTTATCATATTACGGCCAAAAGAGAGAAGGCTATAATTTACATGCAGCAACAATGATCCTATTTAAATTGACATATCGTATAAATTATTTACTTTAGTCTGAGTGCATGTCGCATACACATGACTGCACAACTTGTTCATAGAAATCTGTGGGGATTTTCAGCAAATTGTCTATTTTTCAGTCATCCAGTGGTACTTTATATTTTCATTAAAATGCTGGCATCGAGCTGATAACATCATGACCACACATGTATCATTAATGCGATCTTTGAATAGGCATGACAGGTGCCTGCATGGTATAATGAGCAATGGGTAAAATTTTATAGGTGGCCAGCCATGAAGCCAGCCAGTACCTTGATCAATTCATCAACAAACATTGCACATGTTTCCCCTTCCTTAAAAAATCGACAATTTTGAACCCTACATTAAATTGCAGAATGTTCCACATTTCTTTTTGATCCATCATTCCAAAAGATCTACATGTATATTTAAAGGGAAAAAAGTCTGGAATCCCGCCAGGCCTGAATTCCATCTTCTGAGTACAAAGTCACAATTGTAAGTATGGAACCATATGAAGATTTGTAGTGGCAGGTTCCCCCATCTCCATGCTCAAACACTCACTGGGCATGTTCGGGTGCAGTGCTAGTCTACGTGTAGTTCACTGACCTGACAATCCCTGATGACTCTTGATAATATCTTAGGTCAGGTAATGCCCACAATTAAATATAGTTCATGACACAACATGTCAGGGGTCACCAGGGAAGCCCCGTCTGACAGCCTGTTGGAAGCTATTTTTTCCATTTCATTTATTCCAATTTTGGGATGTACCTCACATAACACAGAATGGCAAGCGATACAAAAGGAAAATTTTTTTGACACCCAGACATACAAAAACAACTGAACAATATTTAACCAGCCCAACTGAATTGCCCCAAACAAACTTTTTTGATGCCTGTGTAAAAGGTAAAACTGCCATCCCCCCCTCCCCGGTAAATGTGTCCCCCCCCCGGAACACTTTTAGTGGATCACACCCTGGGTAAACTGTCTGGGGGGACACAGATACCAAAGTAAATCTGTCCCCTTCCACGTAAATTTGTCCCCCCTGAGAAATGTGCCCCCATGCAGCATCACAGGTCAATCACCTAACTGTGTACAGCTACAGAGTTCAACTGCTTTCATACATTTTTTTGACACACACCATTACTGTTTCTGGAAATGAATGCTTGTGACATCAAAACACAGTGATTGGAAGAAGACGGCTATCTTGGATGGAGGCATCCATGGCAATCGAGTCATGCACATACATGTAAGGTGTACTTATTCTCTGAATTTGCTGTGCTTGAAGCCTATGGCTTGAGTTCATGGTCTGAATACATGTACCTGTTACAATGTTTCCAATAGCTACAGGTACCTCATAGATGCTCTCACGGGAAAATATTTTTTAAAAGTGGAGTTTGCGCTTCCGGATCAACACTGCAAAAACTGGATTCAAACATGTACATAGCATTAGGATCCCATATAAACCGCCATCTCCAAGTCACACAGAGTTCTCTAAGAGGGCCTAGGCTATTCCCGTGACTGTGGGGTCCATCTGCTGCATTCCCATGAACGGACGACGAACCCCACAATTCTGGCAAGACTGGGGGTAGGCGTAGGCAAGTTTCTGTATACATGTTATTTGGGCAGAGGGGGCACTGAAGGTCACTGCCTCCAAAAAACCATTATTTACAAAATGTTCATCATTTTAAAGAAAAAGAAACAAAATCAAAAAAAATTAGAGTTCCAAATCTTCTGCCATACGTATTACACACCAAATTTCTCCGGCCTCCTCAATTTAGATGGCTTTCATATGTCCAGATGTCCTCTTGAAGCTTGAGCTATGGCCAACCCATGAGCGACGTCAGATCGGCTTGCACATTTATTATTTCCATTTTACTGCGGGTCTTTTTTGTTTGACACTTATCATAAATTATGGAATAGCTTTAAATCTACGGAATAGCTTAAAGTAACTGCCTATCCCCAACACGTACCGCTTATCAATTCAAGAAAAATCTTAAAAGTTTCTTACATGTACTTACCAGTGATTTTAACTTTTAAATATTCATGGTACAATTCACATGTATTATACGAAAGACCTAATTCCTAATCCTTAACTGCCTCAATTCCTAAACTAGCTAAATGTATTTGTATTGTATTGAGACAATTTGATGTCACTTATATTTTGTCAAAAACGTGTAGAAATGGAATGTTCATCGTAAGAAGGGGTGCTGGGTCTTGTATTAGCCTCGGCTTTTTTCCCAGCATCCTACATCTTTGTTTATTGTAAATGAATTAATATCATAAGGCTATGAGAATGAAAGTTTTAGATTAGCGTCCGGAACAGTTTGGAAAAATATGAGGCTTTTTTTCATTATTCATTATTTTTTCGTATATGACGGTGTGCGGAGCGCGGAGTGGCCAAGTGCGATGAATATGTAAAGTAAGTACATGTAGTAAGAATTCACAATAGATCAACATCAACATGCAATATACTGCATTCCCTAGAACATGACACTACTAAATTCTTCCTTATTCAACTGAGCTTAATACATATTCAGTTCAATAATTGGCATGCCGGCCGCAAGTAGCCACAACCTCACGTTCCATATAAGGCAAATGAGGTCATCAAGTTGTCAATCAGAACAAGTTTTCATTGGATGCAGCATTCTGTATACTCGCGGCCGGCCAGCTGGCCGGCCAGCAGCTAAGGCAAGGCAACACACAACAGGACGGAAGCTGCACAGCATCGCAGTGTTAACGGGATTGCTTGTACACATGTACATGAACAGTAATGACCGTGCTCAGTGGATATGATACTCACATATGTACATGACATCCCTGGCCAGGGCAGTGCTTTACGCCTACGCATATTACAGTCTTACAGAATTTTATCGTTCGTGTAGTAGGTAGGTATGCATAGATGTACGCATGATTTTGGACCCTTTTACTGCTGTATAAGGCTTGGCATATGAAATGGACTTTTTATTCCTGCATTTTTCTGAAAATAATGAACTTTTTTAGAAATAATAAACTTTTTTGGCGGGGTGTTTTGGACCAGGTGGGTGGTGGACAAATCTGAAATTTTCATTCTCATGGTCTAACACGTGTTCCTTCCTCCATGCTCTGAATTTATTTTCATTAATTATTCATTAACAAAGATGTGAAATTAACCAAACCAAACCAAATTATTCCATCAATAAATGACACATTGACATTGTTTTGCCAGTCAATATAGTCTTTCGAAGTAAAATATGCAGCAGCATTTTACAAGTGCTTTCATTTACCTGATAAAGTTACTTTTCAAACGCAACCGGAAGCTGACATTTGAAACATAAACACAGTGCAGTCTCGGCAAGTTTCATAGTTGACCAACTGCGCTGAACTAGAAAATAGCCTAGCGCCCTCCAGAGTCGATGATATTTTTGGAAACGTTGGTTCAACGATTACAATTTAGGGTTCACACTTTTCCAAATAAAAGAAAATCCCTATTGCTCTTATATGAGTCTCATATTGGGAAGTACCTGCAGTTCGAATAAAACGATCGTTTATGTTATAATTTGTTGACAATTTCCTGTAAAAGACATATATTTATATTTAAAATGAACTCTTAATTGATTATCCCTATTTTTTACATAGAACGTGCCATGAGAAATAGATGAAAAGATGGCGACGAGCGTTTGAGTCGCTTCGCGTTTATATGCGCGCACATAGAGCTACAAAACAGCTTCGAAAACATTCTTTTGAGTTGTCAAGCTGAGGAAGGTATAGGTAATTTTGATCATCATTTTTAAAAGTTTTTTTTAGAGGTGTTTTTAGTGCTTTCTCATCAGTCAAGAATACAGTTTACAAATATTGATAGCCTAGGCCTCTTTATCTTTAAGTTTTAGTAAGTTTACCAACATTCACCGTGCTCGCTTATGTTTGAAATTAATAAAAAGTTGTAAATAGGGCCCTAGGCACTCATCTGCTCATGTTTATTTGTTTGTTTTTGTGTGTGTGTTTTTTTATCATGGTTGTCAACATGGTGTGTGTCTGTGAGAAATTTTACATGGATCTTTCAAAATAACCATGGCTTGAATAAAACTTTTTAAAAGGCTGCTTCTTGGCCTAGTTATACAGGTGAATGTGAAAGCGAAGCAAATTTGAAGTCACAAAAGATTTGCAGCATTTTTGATCTGATGTCACAGATTTGCGTAAATTGTCAATCTGCTTTCATACAAAGTATAAACTGGCCTTCACATTTATCATGGGTTGGGCCCAAGCTCTGTACATGTTTCGTGTGTAGTCTGCCCTGGCATTAATTGTTATCTAAAACTATTATTTATTTTAACTAGGCCTAACCATTCAGCATTTCATTTTCCACTCAAGTTGAGTGGAGAAATTTTTGTTTGTTTGACCTTGGTGACATAACCACGGACAGTGACATATTTTTATTTGAACTGAAAAAAGATTTACTGAGACAAAGTGTACATATTTTGCCATCCTCTGGTTGAATATCATCAGGAGGGGTTCACGGTCCAATTTCCATTGCCAGAGTAGCTGTGCTGTTGTACCCACATGGCAGCTGAACATGAGCAGTGATTATTTCTTGGGATCATGTGCCATAAATCGTGTAGATTGTCATTTTGAATTTATATTCATGGGATGGAATTCAGACCAAGGCTAGTGCAACATCAGACCTATTTTCCTTAACAATTTATCCAGAGCTATGTGTAGAAATCACTAAAAAAAACCCAAATATCCTGAAATTTAATTTAATATAGGATTCATGTAAAAAACGTTTGAGTTAAATAGATAGTTTTGTGACTTTTGGGAATGGGACAATTTGAATGGGCTTGTGGTTGGTCTCAAACCTCCATCTCCTGATGGTTTTTATTGGCAGCATCATGCGATCCCCCGTCCATTAATTTAGCAATTACATGGTGTTGGTTCAGTGCTAACATTAAAAGAAAATAAAGTGTGTGACCAGATGATGGCAAAATTAACACTTTGCTTTGAAAAAAAAATTGAGCTCAAAATTGAGCTACCTGCTGGAACTGTTTCCTAATCATGTTGATAAAATTGGTACTTGAATTATGTTTCTTTGGCAGAAGTACTGGAAGCCATGGAAAATGCAGCGAGTGATGATTCACAAAGTGACGTGAGCACCAAATCCTCACGCCAGCGGAAGGAAGTTCGCCGCCCAGATATGGCCATCTACAAGCCTGGACAGTCACGCCTTGGTAAAAGATCCGAACAAGACCCACCTCCATCTACCACAGACAACGACACTACTCCCGCCAGTTCCATCAAAAACATTCAGGGCGATCATCGGTTGCAAGACACTTCAAAAGCCCAGAGCCAGAAGCCAAAGCCAACACAGCATGGTGATAAAGGTCAGGAACTGAAACAGCCACCACCACATCAGCATGGGAAGGACAAACGTGAGGGTCGTTCATCAGTACACCTTGAAGACAGGAAGAGCACATCCCAAGTGCAAAGATCAGGCAGAGACAATAAACGTTCTGATAATCAAGGCAACAGGTCTTCAAGGGGTAACAAAGTCAGTCATCCCAGATCAAGACCTGACCACGACAGCAGTGTAAGGACTAAGGATGTGAAGAAGGAGACAGGCAGCTATATAAAGCCAGCAGCCAAACCACCACAGGACAGGAATGCAGGAGACGATGTAAGAAAGGAGGGGACCGTGGAAACAAAATCAGGGCCTAGCCCAGAGTCCAAGCCTGCCAGTGAACAACAGCCCCAGGTTCAGCGAGAGAAAAGATGGCATGGTCCACAGGGCAAGAGAAAAAATGCAAAAGATGATACTAAAACTGGACGGCATTTGGGTAGTGTATCAAAGAAAAACTCTGAAAGGGTAAATATACCTATTGGAGATGCCGAGCTAGCTTCCGATTCCTCCCTTGTCAGGCAAGCAGATTCCCAAACTGAAGCCTCCACTAAAAATCACAACTGGCTAGGGAAACAAGAAAATCATAATGGCAAAGCACCAAAGAGGTCACAAAGCAATGAAAAAGCACCAAGTAGCAATCATCATGGAAACCATGCTCAGCAAACTAGTCAAGAATCGAAGAAGACTTTTCACGGCAGCAAGCAACACTCGCATCAAGAGGATGAGGCAAAGAGGTCACACAGCATATCCAGTGAAACAATTTTGGATAAAGTGTCGAGGCAAAAGAAACCAGACCGCTCTTTCTACGTGAGCCCAAAGTTGGCTGGCAGCCAGGGGCAAGATGAGCCAAAGACCAACGAGAGTGAAACAAACACAGTGCCACCTGAAGATAAAATTGAGACAATGGTCTTCACTTCACGGAAATCCTCAAACCAAAACTGGTCTCAGAGGACTGACAACAGTGGTTCCAAGAATTCTAAGCCCGCGGATTCTCTTCAAGGAAAGTTCACTCTGGAGAATAACAAAAAAGTACCATTGAAGTCATTACTAGACCTCCAGGTGTCTCCTCCAGGCAAAGGAATGGCCTCAAAGACTCCCAAGACTGAATTGAAGTCACAGAATGAAGCAAAGTCACCAAATGCAGACACAAGATCAAAACCTGCCCCCTCATCGAAAAGGTACTCAGCCAGACGATCCCGGCAGCGCTATAACAGCGAGAGCTCAACTGGCAGTGATAACAGTCAATTTGTTGATGTAGCCCAATCAAAGTCCGAAGACCTTGACAGAGATTTGGCACACACAGACTCAAAGCTGCAGAATCTCAGTCTCAAAGATGAATTCAAGGGATCCTATGAGTCAATCTCCAGTACAGACTCTGGGAAACGTGTTGGGACAGCATTGTCACAGAAGAAAACATTACAGAGTCAAAACCAGAGGAGACACTTGGATTCCAGAGCGGATGCAGAAGTCAGCGAGAGACAACCAGCAAAGAGAGAAACTGGAAAACAAGTTTTTGAAAAGGGCAAACTGACAGTGACCTTTAACAGCAACGTCAGAGAGGTGACACTTTCACCCGAGGAAGAAAGGGAACGACGGCTGGAGGAAGAGTCCCAAGATGGAAGGTCTGGTGACCGGAGACAAAGTGGGCGAAACCGACATCGAGACCGAGAATCCAGAAGGACAGCAAGCGAATCAGAAGAGACACAATCTGAACACGCATCCAAGGGTGGTGGCTTGATTCGGCTGCCCCAGAAAAGAAGTGATCCCATTTCAATCCATTCTCAACCAGCCAATCAGCAGCAGCAGCAGTCTGAGCAGGGCTACCGACCAATCTATGATCGATACTACAACCCTCCACAGCCAGCCTCAGAGCCCAAAGAAGAGCCACGACCAAAGGATGCAAGAGGTCGCCCTGGCAACCGGAACCTCCTGTGGGATCCCAGCAAGCCGCAGGAGAGACCCGCCTTGGCATCTGCCAAGAAGCCTGAGTCCACAGACTATCATTTCTATGATCCTGAGCAAGGGGGAAGTCCCGGAGAGCGCAAATTTGACCCAAGGGGTCACTTCCAGCCCCAAGGGTATGGAGCCTTTTATCCGCCAGCTTATCCAGCGATGCCGGTGCAGCACACTGTCTACCCATCGCCAGGTTTTTACCCGGCGATGTCCTGGGCAGAGCAGGTGGAGGCTCATAACACAGACTCCAAGGTCCAGGCTCCCAGTCCCCCGACGCAAGTTGGCAACTACCAGGGCAACTTTCCTCCTCTTGGAGCATCTCCAGATGCTCCCATGGCAACAGAAACGCCCACCAGTGTTGCAGCCCCACCCTCATCCCATTCGCACTCTGTAGCTCATAGAATCCTCCAGGACACTGCCAGATATGAGCACAGCATTAACAACGCAGTGTCACGCCGTTTCCATGGTGAAGAAGGTGTGCAGAAAATCATGAAACTCAGGTTTGTTGGAATGCCGAAAGTGCAACTTTGATATAGCAAGAGAAAGTGTGGAAGGAAACCTTGGATAAGGTCTTGATGAGATTGAATAAGCCTTTTGCGAGTTAAATTTGAATAAAATCTGGTATGCCGAGTTCTTTAGATTCATGTGAACATAGCAACTGGAATTCTCCAATTCTCTCAAGACAAATGCAAACCTTTCCGAATTGTTGCTGCTGGGAGTTTCTGTTATTTATTTGATTGGAACAGCCAGCTGAGGTGGGTTTTGTAGTTCACTTGAAAAGCTGGAGGAAGTATTATGAAGTGTTGTGAATCTGCTGTCAGTCAGCAATGCTGACATAACCCAGTATTCATAAATACCTCAGCCAATCTCCCTATTTAACAAAGTGCAACTTGATCTTGTATGAACATTTGATTATGCCCGCTGAGAATTGATAATGCCCACTGCGTAAATCACGTGCTGGCACCTAGATACGAGACAGTTTAATCGATTCTGATTGGTCAAGAGTCTGTGTGCATACGGCTTGCCACATGCGCGCAAAGTCCATATAAGGAGAGTCTTTTGGACAACTTGTAAAAGGAATATACCATAAAATAGACGGGTGCTCGGGGATCATGAAGTAAAATGCTAGAACAAAATTGTTGGAAATGCATCATACATATTGACTTCTTTCACCTGCAGCTCGGGCATTATCAGTGTCTATTCCCTGAGTTGGTCTTAAACGCACGTTTCAGACCGGCCGAGCACATATTTATTCCCTTATTGAAAACATTCTCTTCCTTGTTATTTTAGCCAAGAGCTGGAGCGTATGTACGAGCAGGTGATCCTGACCGACCTGGAGATGTGCAACAAGCATAACATTGAGCAGCTACTGTGGAAGACGGCCTACTACCAAGTGATTGAGGCCTTGAGGAGGCAAGATGTGGAGGAACCAGGAACGTACAAGCTGTACCTGGAGCAGCTACTGGATCATGTGAGTCTAGTGACCATGCTGTGACTGAAGCCATGCCAGGGTGAGGCATATGTGGCCGTGGCTTGTTTTTCTTTGACAGACTAGAAGTAATAGCCGTAGTCATGGACATGGCCCCATGTTGGATGCGGCTGGACTTGAGATGCCATCCCGGGTGTGCTCATGATAGGTTCTGCTTGTGGCTTGCATGACCATGCGTTGTGCTCGTCAGGATGTTGAACTTGTACCTGTCATGACATCTGTGACAGAATCGACAGAATCATTTCAGTGTCATGCTTAACTCATGACCTAATAATCCAATAGCTGGTCCTATCTGGCTTTGTCATTTTGCATTATCAACAGCGTTGATTGTTTGGTGATGAGCAAACGTAACGCAGACTTTACTGTGTAAATTGTGTGGCAAATTACTGTTCTGAGTTTGGCCCGCTTTATAAGTTTCATACAGTTTTATGCCAAGAACACTGAATTTATTTACTAGGCAATGTGTAGAGTGTTTCACCTGCAATAAAGAAAACAATTGTCTTATGACGTCGTTACAGATGTCTTTGTTCAGTGGTATTTTCTGGTGCCTGCAGATGTTACGCTAAAAACTTGTTACAAAACAAAATTTTAACATTCAGTTTTCTAATAATTGATTCCATTTGTTTTCAAAAATCAATCTAGGGCGATGATTTCTATGTATCCCTGTTGGAGAAACTTCAGTCAGCGTACAGCTTCAGACTAGAGACACGGACAGGGCTGGATCCCCTTCATGAAGAACCCAGGAGAGCGGTAGGTCACTGATGACTGGATTTGCACCAAATGGTCAGGCTGAGTTGAATACTGTTGTTGGTTGTACCCTGTGGGCCTTGAGCTGGATCAAGAGAGGGCGCTAGTTTCTCAGCAACAGAGGCTCCTTTGGTAGGAACTGAACTTCGCTGGTTCATGAACGACTAGGAAATATATGTGTCACTGGGGCATCGTTACCAACAGTATGAACACCCTTGACCAACATGGCTCTTTTTAACCACTTGCTGCCGGGGTTGCCGGTACCGGGCACGTATTCTTTATATGCGTCGCCAGGGTCTCCGAAATCGGACAAAGGGAACTGGGCCTTGTAACAAACGACCGTACTCGTAACAAAAGACCAGGCTGCTGGACATTACCAACAATTTTTCACTCTCAATAGTGGAGATAATCCAGCCTTGTTTTGAAACAGAATACCACGGTTTGGGGCATTTAGTGCGAGTGGATTAGCACTGGGGACAAAAGCGCTCCACCACTGCAGCGATTTGCCACACAGCACCGCTGCACGCTTATCTGGCCCCTATTGAAAAGAGGTCAGCAGGGCACTGTGCCAGGTTTATTGAAATGATGAATTTTTAAAGAATTTTGAAAACTGAAAATCTTGAAAATGTCCCGTTTGTGTGCACTGCATTTTTCAAACCACCCGGCAGCAAGTGGTAAACCAATGAGGGGGTGCTTGTGCTCGAGGCAGATTAGAACTCCAAGTTTAGTTTCTTTACACAGACACTAGCAGATTGAAGCATTTTTTTAAAGACCAAAGACGTGTTTTAACTTCAAGGACTTGTTGTTGATTGAAAGTGGTTTGACTTGATGCGGAGACTGTTTTCAAGTGGATTGGATTATTTATCTAGCGTTTTCTCCCTCCGCTAAAGCTGTTCCCTGCTTCATCACGTTGTCGTAGAAGATTCAGTGTCGGATGGTTTCATCACCAGAAATGGATCAGAAATCTATGTACATTTTTGTCCTTATCCCTGATCACCAGATCAAGTTGGCGTTGCTCAGTGCCCAGCGGTGTATGATATCCCTGGGGGATATTGCTAGGTACAAAGAACTGACCAATGACACCAGTAACTACGGAAAAGCTAGAAGGTATTATTTTCTGTTGAAGTGTTCCTGCTCAATATTAGTAACGAACTGAAATACTTTGTCATGAAATTTTAAAGGAGTAGAGTTTGAATAGTATAAGTGTGGGCTGGAGAGTTTTGAATTCTACAGCAGTGCTGGACGTTACCATTCAAATCAATTTGATTCAGACCATCAGTTGAAAAGTGTAACCATACAAATCAGTGCCTTTCTGTTTGGTTTTTAGTTGGTACTTGAAAGCCCAGCACCTGGCACCAAGAAACGGCAGACCTTACAATCAGCTGGCCATTCTGGCCCTGTACACCGTAAGTACCCCTCCAATCCGCCCCGAGCGCAACAAAGGAGGGCGTGGTGTTTTTTTTGGTACTCACTGCATAAGCGCGCGTTTATAATGGAAATCAATGGCGCGTTTGATGCGGGACACGCTGAGTACGCTTATGTATGGTCTCTGCGTACACGCAGAACGCGTGCCAGATCCCGCTTGGAAAACTTACCACCATCTGTCTTTCTTTTGCTGCTTGGGGGTGCACTTCAACTCAGGCCGGATATGCAACCTCTGCACGGGTCCGCAACATGCACTAAGTTTACAACAACTGACTGCGGTGCCGGTTTGGTACTGCACTTCAGAAATCTGAACTTGTGTTATTTAACATGTACTGTTATGCAAATTTCGTGCACTGGATTGGATATGTACAATTAATTAAACCTGTGTGACTGCATTTTAACCAATCCGAGTAGTAAATAAGCAAGAGGAATATTTTAATTTGGGATAATTCACTGGGAGGATTTAATTTCTTTGGGCGCCTTACATTCAGTAATATTCAAGTTCTTACATTCAAGTTCTTACCTTCAAGTTCTTACATTCTTGATACAGTTACACTTTAGCAGTACAAATTTGAAGCATCTGCAGAATTGTATAGTGTGCCATTCATCTTCTGACGGCAATGTAATAGTTAACATATGAGGCAAGATAAGAGACGGAGAGAACCCCCCCCACTTTGTGTAGGTCATTGTCTCACTGGAATCTGAGGAATTCTTTTCAGACATCTAGGGGGGATGTGTTGGGTAACAATAGCGGAGAGTGTGTATAGGGATTGGATATGTTTGGGGGGTACCCCTTGGTCTCATTTCTTGCTGGATATAACAGTTAACTGTCAGCATTTCCCTGATTATGTCTTCTTTGGTCTTATTCAGAGGAGAAAGCTGGATGCTGTATATTACTACATGCGTAGCCTGGCAGCCAGTAACCCATTCCTGACGGCTAGGGAGAGTCTCATGTCCCTGTTTGAGGAGGTCAGAAGAAAGGTACTGTATGGGCGTTTGCTTGTTGTGTCTAAATGTACTTTCTTAGCTCTGCTCAAGCTGTTCTGAAAAAAATCAGGTGCATTACAGGGAGTTTTAATACATTTATGTCATGCTTAGTACAATTTGTGTCCAGAACGGAATGGGTATTTGGCCATGCGGTGATTGTGTTTTCTTAAATGAAAAGAGGAGAATGAACAAATTGGTTATGGTATCATCAAAACTGCCAAAAAAAAACACAATTCCAAAAAGTAGAGTTTATTGCAGACTTCATGCTAAAATGAGAAAGGGAATGCTCTGAACGACGGTTTGAATGAGCTGTGATATATTTGTAACCAAGTAATGTTGAATCAATTCTGCCTGACATGCATGCATTTATGCATGATACTCTCCTCTGGAGTATGCGGTGTGACTTTACAGTGGTGACTGTGTTGTTGCTCAGTGGATTAATCTATCACCTTTTTCTTTTATTGGTTAGTTTGCCTTGATATTAGAAAGCAATGTTGAAAAAACAGAGCTGAACATATTTCCGTAGGTGGAGCACAAGGAGAAGGCACAGGTTCAAGCGAAGGAGGTGAAGGAGCGAGCGAAGGAGGACGAGAGACGGCGACGGGCCAAGGAGAGGAGGGGGAGGCGGAGTCAGGCAGAGGGTGGGAGGGACGACAGCCAAGCCACCAGGAGGGAGATATGGATTGCTAGCGATGGGAGCAGCCACGATGGATCAGAGCTGGCCGAGGATAATGAAGAGGAAGATGGAGAGGCTACCTTGAGGAGGATATCGCCGGTCGAGGTAGGGCTTGTGGTTACATGGAGCAAAATTAGTTGTGGAGCAATTCTTGTCATTGAATACTTCATGAGAATTTTTCCCAGTCGTCACAAGGGCTGTAACTAGCACTTTCACAGCTAACAGCGAGTGAAAAACAGAGGATTGTATTTTTTACTGTTTCATATGAATAGCGTTTGGCTCACATGGAGATTGCTTTGATTGGGACATACTTGAAACTAGATTTGTGAAATAGTTGTGAAGCAAGAAATCTGTGTGACTTATTATTCGTGGTTAAGTAGTGCTTAATTTGTGACCTACATGTACCTTGCACCTTTGGGCTGTGCTGAAGTGGAATGTCTCCGGTCAAACCGTAGTCATGGCAACTTGTGTTCTTGGTTCCCAGTTTAGCTAGTGCAATATGATATACACAGCTATTGGTAACCAGTGATGTGACCAGCCTCGATAGGTGGGTCCTAAGTAATTGACTAGACTAGTTTAACCATCATCTCATCACTTGCATTCAGTAAGAGTTATTCAGACAAGTTTGGTTAACTGTTGTTTGTGATCAAATAATTTGCCCGTAGGTTACTGAATTTACAATGCACTGGACTGCTCATTAATCGTGTTTTTGTTGGTAAAGCATGCTTCATTTCTACTGCCTGAGAGAAACTTTTCCTTTTTTTTCCTTTTTTTATTACATTCAGATCAACAAGAGGTTTGTGCTGAGCTTGTTGAACGTCCATGGAAAGCTTTTCACCAAGATTGGGTAAGGCCTCTCTCGACCACAGTAATTGCTTAAAAACTGTGAAATATTCAGGAGGAAAGCGTTGTTGATCGTAATTTAAGACATGCTGGTAATGCCACTGGTTTGTTTTGACTTGGTTGGATTCCACAGCATGGAGCATTTCAGCTTCATCGCCGAGAGACTCCTGAAGGAATTCCGCGTCTTACTGACGCACACTCCGACCCCCGTCACCAGCACAAGGATTGTCCAGGCCATGGCAATAAACATGTTTGCTGCACACAACACAGAAACCAAAGGTAAAGAATCGGTAACCTTGCTTGAAACGTTCTCACATATTTAGACTTAGGATGGAGATAATTAGTTTGCTTGCAGAAAATAAATCACATTGTTGGAGGAAATATCTGTTCTCGTTATCGGACACTTTAAACCCTTCACTCTGGGAACCGTGGACAGCTGCGGCTTTGTGTGAGGATTAGTGCATACCACACATACATTCTATTCATCATGCACCTGCGGTTTCAATGTGGACCTGCTGCTGGACAGAGCTTTGCATACTGGGCATACCGCAGCCCAGCAGTCGCAGTCAAAAGAATTCCGGTGTTAGGGGGTTCATTTCAGACCTGGTAAACTTGCAACAACGAACAGCTTCATTTTACATGACTTTTATGAAGTATATTCACTTTTAACAATCCGTGAGTTGACATTATTTTCTTCTTGTTCAGTGCTATGGAATTAAGTGGAAGTTTTGGTTTATTTAAGGGTCAGCCAAGTTCACTGGATTTTTCTTCCACAGGATTAGTATGGATTTGGTTTTGTCATCACCTGTCTTTTGTTGCTTCTTTTTAGATCAATCCCCGCGGGAGGACTTGCGATCTCTGCTTCAGGAGCAGGCTATCCAGCTGGGCCTGGACATGTTTGGTCTCCTGGTCAGCAGGTGTAACCAGCTACTAACAGGTGCCTCTCAAAGATTCCAAACCAATGAGCTTGTAGTATATTCTGTCTTGTCCTTGCTTTGTAGTTAATAGACCTCTTTCATGGGGCAGCCATCTTGCTTTTCTACCATTCAGAGCAATGTAATCAAACTGAGGCTGGAAGGAAACTGTTCCCTTTTTATCATTTTGTGAAGTTGTGTTACTATTGCCAGTGATTCTACAGGGAACAAGACACACTTGGCAGCATCATGATAAAGGTCTATAGTAGAGCGCCTTGCTTTTCAAGAAAGTTAACCCTAAACTCTGAGGCATTTTTTTGCTGTGAACCTTCCTGAATCCCCCATAATCCTTTATTCTGAACAAATGGTGTGTTCTTAGTACTTGAATTTTGTAGTAGATCGAGCCCCGTGTAATCCACTCTGAGCAGGAACACAGAAGGCATGTTTGTACATGGAATTGACAGTCCATTGGTGAAAACTCACTGGGTGAGCACGCGTGCAGATGTATGCGCATTTGGTGTCTGGCCGCTGAGCACTTTGCATGTGCACCAGGAACGTGCGCGAGACCATTTGAAAAACTACCCACCGGCCAGTCTCTCCTTTGTCATTGAGAGTGCACTTCAGCTCAGGGTGGATATATGAAAGGCTGCGTTCTACCTTCGTCAAATCTGCAAACTTATCCTGGCCGAATTGATGGGCAAAAATCTGGGAAACCTAAAGTTGAATCATCGTAGTTTTTCCAAGTGCTGTCTTTTCCCAGCTTTTCCCAAAGAAGACTAAGTTGACTGTGTTTGTTCGCATTGCTGCAGACCATTTGAAGTCGGACACCCAAGGCCGGGTGCTACTGAGCGAGGATCTGTTGGAACTCCTCCCGGGCGTCAAGGTGTATGCTGATTGGCTGATGTGCCACCCCCAACTGTGGAATCCCCCACCCAGTTGCACGGATAAACCTTACAGGTAACCTTACTCTGCCAAGATTGCTTTTTCCCAGTTATAAATTTCTCATCAGGGACTGGCATTTTGGGAGTCATGACGGCAAGATGGTACTCTTTGGTACTTCTACATCTGTGGTCTGGGTTCAAATCCAACAGTGTCATGTTTGAATTTCTTTATTCTTACTTACTTCTCATAGCAACCCTATCTCACAAAGACTGTTTGGATTTCATTAAGACTTGGGAAATAAAAGAAAACGTGATAGAAAAAGAAAAGAAAAGGGCTGAAACTGTTAAAAACCATAATGGAACAAAAGGGCGTGCTTTTTGGTACTCACCGCAAGGCGCACGTTTATAATGGAGATGAACGGTGCGTTTGACGCGGAGCACGTTGAGTACGTGTAATGAGTTAATTCCTTAATGTATGGTCTCTGCGTACACGCAGAACGCATGTAAGAACCTGCTTGGATAACTTCAAGTACAACATTCTCCGGTCGGATAATGTCTCTGGTTGCATGGATTGAAGATGTGCCTCAAGTTTTTCTTTCTCTGAATCTTTATAGGGGTCTGTCTATCACAAATGCTGATTGGCAATTTTCGTATGCTGAGCGAAGGTCAAAGGTTTTCCTCTTATCCCTCTCTTAAGATTAGCAGGTTCCGATAATTCATGTCTATAAAATTTGAGAAAGTTTTAAAAAGTTGTAAATTTACTGACATGTCTTTGTTATCCCATACAATACGGCCGTTTCACAATAGTGCACCACTAAGAGTTTGCAATGCGTTGGCCAATCACAATGCGCGAAATTTGTCGACCCAATGTGCGTTTGGAAAGGGTCGACAACTTTTGCACGTTATGATTGGCCAACGTGTTGTAAACTCTTGGTGGCGCACCACTGTGAATCACCCGTATTGTGTCATTGAAGCACTCTTATTTTGTTGTCCAAAAAGAAAGAAAAAAACAGTGAGACATCAAAAGAATTCTACTCTTTTTTCAGTGCGTCTGTTGATGTGTGGTCTTCCCTAGCGGAACTTCTGAATACACTCAAGAGGATTGATACCAATGTAGTAACATTCATCAAGAAGACTGATGAAAATGGTGAGTGATGTTATTGCTTTCATAATCTGGCTCAATAGAGGGATTCCAATACGACGCTTTTAGCGTCGATCTGCGCACTTTTGCGTTTGAAAACAAGGCTGTATGTGTCAGCTTCAATTCTTAATACGATCAGACGATTGAAAGTAAGGAGTTAAGACACAAAATACATAAAGGTATGTTAAATTCAGACTTTCCAGGCTGCAAATTTTTGTGGAAGAGTCTTTCAAGATGACTAGACACGTAAAATCAAAACAAAAAAATAAGGACAATTGACCGCGAACTAACGGACCTGCGATGGTCGTGTATCTTGTGCAGTGGGCGTGGTTTATACTGAAGTGGCGTCACACTTACGAACCGGATACTCCATGTACTGTGTGGACTCCGCGGGTGCGCGCGACAAAGTTCAACACAGAGAGCCTCAGTTTCAATGCAGATATGCACAGACTGCGTTCATGTGAAATCCCTCTATAATGTATTAATGGTATGCCGGTGACCCCAAGAAGTCACAGGGAGATACGGCTGTAAACAGGGTGCATCTTCACATGCGAGCCTCATAGTAGAGGCATGCTTAAAATGCAGTGTTCTTGTGTGGTTCTTGTCCACTGCATTGATTGTTCCGTACATCAAGGTTAAGTGCATGATTTGTTGTGGTTTGTCATAAAATAAATCATACCCTGGTCTTGTGCAGTTTGTACATGTAGTTCCGGCCAGGAATCTTGAACACTGAGACTTGGTCTCAAGGTTTCTGTGTAATAATGTGTTGAATCGATCGTTCCTGTCCCGGACAACATATTGAGGGTAGATTTTTGGAGGGCTGCTTTGACAAATATTCAGTTTCCGGCAAAGCGCTTCAATTTAGAAAAGCGACACATAAGCCTCACCAACTGCTTGTGTTGTGTTGCAGCTGCCGGTGTACGGTGCTATGCTGCCGGACCACCGCCAGGTTTGTTTTTGAGGCCACCACAGCAGGCCTGCAACAATGACATGTTTCATGCCGTTGTCCTCATTCATCGACGAGTAAATTATAGTTACTGTCCTAGGAATTGAATCCATTAACTTTCAGTAGAAGAATCCGATACATGTTTATCTCTTTTTCTTCGACACACTGAATAGTGTAGACTCGGCAAACAAAGCACGCATGTGGGTTGCTGTCTTTTCTCTAGAAGCTGCATATGTACGTGTATAAGGTAGCCTGCGATTCAGGCCAAGATTCAGGTCTGGGTACTCCTATACTGACCGCATTATTCCCTGTGGCGTAGGAATAGTCTGGTGCCACTGCATGTGAACACGAGTGCACTCTCACATGTATGCCAAGCAAATTACGTTCCTCTCCACCTTGGATGTCTCTTACTTCATTTTGGAACAAATGTCACAACCATTTTGACCAGCTCAGAGTAAGATGTTAAGGTTTTGTATCTAAAATATAAATGTATAATATTGTGCATTTACTGCACGTCGTCAAAACTCCTCGTTTTAATGCACTTGGGCCACAACAATATTAGTTTACTGCCATGTATCTTCCTGTATGCTTCATGCATGCCTGTTGTCAATCCAACACAAAACACAAAATTTGACCTCATGTGTTTCTGAAATCGGTCCAGTCGCTTGTAAAAAGAAATGGCCTCTTATTTCTCTCGTGTTGATTTTTGGCAGATAAATTCATGGTATACTGGTTTTTTGGTGGCCAATCTACCCCCAAAACACTAGATGTTGAAATAGTTGAAGCCTTTTTCCCAATACAAAAACAAAGCTATTACACAGACAACCTAAGATCCTGTCCGCTGTGACTTTTCATGTTGTTACGTTTCCAGGTTGCCAGGAGATTTTGCTACCAGAGGACGTACAGTTATCTGGGTTTGTGCCACTCATTGCTCTACCCTTACAACCAGTCTACATTCCCAGCGATACCAACAAGGTAAAAAAAAAAGAGACCATTCCAAAAATACAAACATTTTCCAAATATTTGAAATCGTTTCCAGAGCTTTCCAGCTCTCCCACCCGGAGATATAGAAAAATCCGATGACCAAACTTAAAAGCCATTAGTCCATGGGCCATCCTGTTCCCACGCAGGTGGTGCGTGCGTGTGAAATTCCTCGACCAGTAGGCAGTAGTCATTTACCAAAGTGCGCATGCTCAGATTGAGACAGCTGTGCGAGTATAAATGGCCCCTGGAGTAGCGTCTCGTTGGATGTGTCCATACACTGTGACACAGTCATAGTGATTTAAACAGCTGTAAGTTTCACTCAAAAAGCCCATGTGCTGTGAAAATCTGCCGTCACAATATAAGAGGCCGCCAAAAATCTAGAACATTTTACTTGTACTTCAAATAAAAAGAGCACTGTTTGAAATGCTGACAAAATCTGGCAGTCTTCAATAGCAAATGATTTGTTTCTCAAAAGGATAACTGGCAAATGACTCTTAGCAACTTTAGGCTCTTCTTGTTTGCATAATGTAATTTACATAATGGTCTCTCTTCCAGCCTTCTGGTTCTAAAGATATTCTTAATGAGTTAATGATTTTTTGTTAGTTGGAAGCCATGGACTGCGTCCGAATCAACTCTCTCCTGCTCTTTGGTGAGTACGCCTGTGGACAGGAGACCCCACTTCTGGCTTACGACGTCTCCAAGAATTGCTACATATCTGTCGCTCCTGAGCTGGTGACCACAGAGAAAGTCGAACAAAGGCCCGATCAGGTGAATATGAACATTTCTTTGACTGTCCTACATGAATCCTTTATTGAATCTTTCAAAATACCACCATTTCAAAACACCACATTGCTAAAGGGTGCTGAAACTCTATGGCTTCGTGGAGTTGGTTGTTGGGGGTGAAAAATTAGCACCCTGGGAAGTGCCCTTGACCAGTTGTCCGATGGAAATGGTGTTATCTTTCTTCTCAGGCTGACGACGATGTTATCATCGAAGAGGAGTACTACGAAGATGCGGAGGAGAGTTCTGGGAAGGAGGGGGAAGATTCCGGGGACGTCAGCAGCTTGAGGCAGAAAAAGGAAGACCTAGAGAGACGCTTGCAGCAACAGCAACAGAAACAGGCGCAGATACAGGTAAAGGCTGATTCTGAAATTTACACAGGCCTTATTCTGTCTCGTTAACATACACCATGTGTTAAAGTTAGCAAGTATTCTTTTGATGACCCCAAAAAGCTGACTTGTATGTGTTTGTCAGAAACGATGCAGATACATGCATCCGTAACAGTAAGGGCATCGGATTCGTAGTCGGAGGTTAAAGCCACAGGTTGCGGGTTCGAATCCAGCCTGTGTTCATGGTGCGCGTGCCCTTGGGCAAGGCACTTTGTCACTCATTGCCTGTCTCCACCCAGGAGTAATTGGGTACCCTGTGAGGGCAGAGATGGTTGCTGTGGTCGATTGAGCTGCTTTTGGCTGAAATGGCTGCATCGAGCTGTATACTCCCCAAGGAGCTGAGATAGTATTTGGAATGTTTCGTTGGCCCAGTGAGCAGGGGTAATAATAACGGAATTGCACCTTGATCGGTTTTCCGGATAAGTGCGCTATTTAAATCTATATTATTATAAACTAGCAAGAGTGCAATTGGGAATTCCACTGTTCAGTTCACATAACATCATTGCACTCAAAGCGCATTCTGTCATGATTTTTTTGTGTTGATATGTCCCCTCAATGTGCTTTGACGCTGGATCTTTATTTCATGTTGCTAGGCAACCATGGAGAGCCATCGCCAACAGCTGTACCTTGAGGTGGAGATCAGACCGCTGTACCTGGTGCCGGACACCAACTGCTTTATTGATCACTTGAGCAAGATCCAGGCTCTGCTGGCTTGCCGGAAATACAAGCTGGTAGTACCACTCGTGGGTAAGGCAGCAAACTAAAGAACGTGTACTCTTCCGTGAAGAATTGATTAATATTAGTATTGTTGTAGTTTCAGAAATTAAGGGGAAAGTTTGCAAAATGGTAGGGTTTTCTTGTCAGGAAAAGTTGGTATTATAAAGAAAGTGCTTTTAAAGGAGGTCATTTGTAATTGATGAAGCGAAACATACTTGGCAGGATTGGTGGATTTGCTCTGTTGGTTGACATAACGGAAATGCTATTATGCGATCACTTGATAGGGAAGGAAATCTTGGATTTTACTTTCCTCTCCCAAAAAAAGCTTTGAATCTAAATGCAAAAATCAACTGACAGTTGTACAATTAACCAATGAAAGCCCAGTCGACAGATAATCCAGCATGATTGCCCGCTGATGCAGTGCAACTTTGCGATTGACCAATGGGGCAGGTTTCAATATATCCAATCGACACCATACTTTCTGTTTTATCCAAGTTATCAATGAACTGGACGGTCTGGCTAAAGGCAGCCGAGACGATCTGTACGAAGAGCCCAGCCAAGCATTGAGGGTGCAAGAGGGGGCCGGGTCAGCCATCCGGTGTCTGGAGGAGAAGTTTGGGCAGAGGAACAAATATCTGCGAGCCCTGACCAGCAAGGGGACGGTCATGGACACTATTGCGTATCGCAGCGAGGAGGTGGATTTTAAGGTGAGTGGACTTGATGTGCGGGGATGCATACCTGCTGGTTGTAGTCAATTGTTTTACTCATGCAGTCCCTGACCCACATAACTCTCTCTTGGTTCGTTTGTGTATTCAGTCGATGTTCGCCCGTGGTCCTTGTGTCTGCACATTTTCACCTCCTTTGTTTGTTTTCGTTGTTTAGAATATTTTGTTTTGCTGTGTGTGCATTGTTCTTTTGTCATCTTGTTTTGGTGGAGAGACTTTTGAGACACTTGGTGGCTGCCAACCAAACTATTGTTTGTGCCAGTTTGACCATGCACTAACTTAAGCGCGACTTGAACAATAGCGAAGCAATCAGATTGGGTCATGCTTAATATTTCAAGTAAGAACTTCATAAATTTGTTTTAGGGCTGTAATGATGACCTCATCCTCAAGTGCTGTCTGCATTATGTCGACGACCGAGCCAGAGACTTCATGCCAACCACTAAAGGTAAATATCATTGCTGAAGAGTTTCCAAGGTTTGGAATGTATCCAAGACCAAGCACTGTGGCATTTTCACCACTTGTGTCGTCCAGACGATCACCAGACCATGTACACCCTTAGATACGAGACCAATCACAATTAACAGGGTGAACAATGACAAAGGAAGGCTTTAGTTGAAGTTCATTTGAATAGCTTGTGGCTTGAATTCAGACGGGAGGTCTTTTGTAAGTTTTATCGGGTTGAATGATGGCCTTAAGAGGTCTTGAATGCCACACTGATTTCAAAAGGAGTTGTCACCCATCTTAAGTTAGGAAATCTGTCAGTTGTTGGTACATTAATTACATGCAAACTATGACCCCACACCCAAAATGCCCCCCAAAATCATGCTGTTTTTGTGGTCATTCCAATAGATGCACCAATTCGCCTGTACCGCGACGTCGTTCTTCTGACTAATGACCGCAATCTGCGGGTCAAAGCTCTCCAGCAGAACGTGCCAGTCAAGGACATCACTGCCTTTGCAAAATGGGCCAAGGTCTGAGCGGGGATGCCAGAATCTCTTGTTGAGTTAAAAACCAACAGTCGTTACGGTACAAGGATGCAGCTAGAAGCGCGATGTCGTAAAGGGTTCAGGGTCCGCGTGAGGAATTTCTTGTCAGGGCACTATGCCCCCCCGTGTTTACATTGATAACCTTTGACCTTTGACATGGTTACCACCTACATGTAGAAGTCCAGAAAAAGACACAAAATGTTAAAAGTGAAAAGGGCAAAGGGTACTCTCGCAGACTGGTAAAAGATAGGCACTTACCAACTCGTCTATTATGGATGTTGCCCTGTATGACACAGCATACAACCTCCTGGAAATCAGCGTGGAAGTAACAGTGTCAGAATGCATTTGTCGGAGAGGGTTTTGGGTACACAAGTTTGTTCTCAAACAAAGCACGACAAGAATCTGCAAAATCTGCCAGTTTACATGTTGGCCCCTGCACAACTTGTGACCGTCAAGCACTGGAACGGTTTTACAGATGCAAGAAGGGTCAATTTGTCATTGAGGAGTGGCGATATCCATGCACATGCTCCTGTTGTCAAAAAAGGAATCCAAAATTTGAATTACACACATGTGTGTTAGCGCCGACTGTGACGATCTGATAAAAATGAAGGTTTCCATTTGAATGATTTGCGAATACATGTAGCAGAAAGTGTGCCATTGAGGATGCAGAAAAACATTGTACAGGTTTGCGTGTTTGCAGATTCTGAACAATTTATAAATGAATGTGCGGGACAGATTTCATACACAGAATTTGAAAAAATGTACGCAAAGGCAGTAGATCGTTTTGCTTGCAGTTTTTGTTTTTATTACAATTAGAAATCGTTATTTTTTAATTGAATTGCGCATGAGTTCGTTGTCACAGCAGGCGAAAAAGATGGTACTCATGTGCACCCTAAACACGTACATGTATTTGTGTTTAAAATTGCTTTTCTTCCGTTTTTTTGTATAAAGCTCTTCCTGAAACCTATTTGTCCTGTGTGTACATGTACTTGCTTTTCTAATGGAGGATTTTAAGGTGTGATACCCGAAGAATGCTGCATGTAAATTCATCTTTAGATGGTACGTTTGTTGCCTGGTTGTAGAAATTACCATCACAGACATGCTTACCTGTGTAAAGTGTAGGGAAAAGGTAAGTGTGTTTTATGATGAACTGATTTCAATGAACACTTAAAGTGTTCACTAAAAGGGATTTTTAATTTAGCCTGACTGAGCCTGGTGTCTGGATCCAGTGTCTGTGGTGAATGGAAGATATGAGCCCTTAATTTCTTGAAATAAATCGAATCCATGCAGCGATTTTTGTTGCGGACTTTCAACTTGAAGATACTTTTATTTACAACTTAAATGCCAGTGGTTTAAATAGTACATGTGGTGTTGACTGTAGATCTCAGCACATCTCAGTCCGTTTTGTCGGATACATTCCTTGAGAAAGTTTGACTATTAATGGGCAATATTATGTAGAGAGAATAAGCCACTGGCTTGCAGAACATTTCAGGAATTTGGAGGATTGCGGAGGTTTCCCATTTCAAGCCAAAATTCCCTGAGGAACTAAAGTTTGTTGAACCATGAGAGAACCTCATTTTGGAGAACTTGGGCATTTGGGGCTCTCTTTTTTGTGCCAAATTGTGGTGTGTGTGAAAAGAATGAAAACGAAGCCGGTGTTTTATTTACGTAGATCGGGATCACGATTAGTGGTCCCTCGTTGGTTTACAGACACCAAAACTCGCCTAATCATGGATGGTGGGAACCAGCGTAAGGATCACTCATCTCAAGCCAGATTCGTGTGAAACAAACAGGCCCTAAAGCTTACTATTGTAGTTTGCGTTAACTGCACACACTTGTCAAATGTTTAATATTTGTACATGTACACTGTAGCCGTTTTTTTTTCAATTTACAAGTGTTCTTTACGTACATTTTGATAGTTCTCCCCAATTTGGTTGGACACTCTCCAGGACGTAACGTACACATAAGTGGTTCTGTGTTTTGTTTTGTTTTCTTGTTGCGTGAAATATTTGCACAGCAAGTTCTTTGTGCCAATTTGAATGTCATTCATTTGCCATTAAATTAATTTTTTACCATTTAAACAGGAGCAGTGATGTAAATTGGTGAAAAAGTTTTAAAATAACATTCTGTGTTTCTCTGGCCCAACGATGTTATCTTGTTTTACATGTGTATGGTATGTACAAAACTGTTTTTAGGCATTGCATCTGTAAATTTAAAGTGAGTTAAATTATGTGCAAGCTTCAGAGTAACGTGGTTTCTTTTTATTTCCTTTGTTGCAAACATCTACACTTGTGCAAATGCATTAGCCTTGTCGCAGATACAGGTACAGTCAAACCCTTGTTTCTAACGAACATTGTGTACATGTAATTAAATATCTTCACACAGAGCAAATTCTTAGAACTTTTGTAAATTGGAGTGTATTATTGTATTTTCACTGCTTTTATACAGTCCTGAATCACAACAAATTTGTCAGGTCTCTAAACTTTGTAATAACTAGGATTGACTGTACATGTATTCATGACTTAGTTGGAATTGTGAACAATTTTGCTATCATCTTGAAATTAGATCTATGTTGAAATACAATGTGCTAAATGTTTGGTATAAAAAAGTTACTCAGAAAAAGTGTACAACCTTTAAGGTATGCTACATTGCTTTATTCTGTCATAACTTTTACTGTTGTGTTAATTGACAATGTGGTATCATACATGATGGGGATCTTTAGTTTTGGTTTGGGGGGGCTCACTGTTCATTACCACCGCAACCGGCTGTGATCCACTGTCCACTTAGGCTGGAGCTATTTTATTTTGGTCCCCGGATTCGCCGACCTTCCGGACTCGGAAAAAATTACAGATTTTGAGAAGGGGGAAGTCTCCAATTTCAAAGCCGTGAGCTTTGGTCCTCGGCGGCTAGCGCTAAGGCTTTTCTTTTTCGGGGGGGGGGTGTAGGCCTATTCTTCCCTTTGATAGAGCCTATTACTAGTATTAGTAATACATGTAGGCCTACATAAATGGAATTTTCTGTCCTGTGTGGACCACCAACTTATAAAAAAAGCTCGGGTAACATTCGACAAGTTTGGGCAGACCTTTCCATGTGGACATTGTTACCGTTAGGCCAACTTTTGAAGTCTGAAACAAGGAAACCAGTACGGTCAGTGAGAAAAGCCCTGGCATCCTAGTGAGTAGTGACACCGTGGGGGCAAAGGGAGAGAGTGGACCTGTGTATTCAGTGGTAGGCTGGGCTCGGCGAGGGAGCATTGCTGGCAAAAAAAAATAAGCTTTTGGGGGTAAAAGGACAAGTTAAGGAAGGGCCGTCCAGCATGGTTGTGCGACTGTACACGTACAGTCGAACAACTATTATTAATTAAATCCAATTACAGACATCAAATCTCTCTTTTTTGAAGTTGTGTGGCTCTGAAAAGAGCCGGTTGGTTTTGAATTAGGAAGCTCGATGCTTAAGCACGTTCGCCACGGATGCGGCGGGCCAGCTGGATGTCCTTTGGCATGATGGTGACCCGCTTGGCGTGGATGGCACACAGGTTTGTGTCCTCGAACAGGCCGACCAGGTAGGCTTCGCTGGCCTCTTGCAGGGCCATGACGGCGGAGCTCTGGAAGCGCAGCTCGGTCTTGAAGTCCTGGGCAATCTCACGGACCAGACGCTGGAAGGGAAGCTTGCGGATCAGCAGCTCGGTGCTCTTCTGGTAGCGACGGATCTCACGGAGAGCCACAGTACCGGGCCTGTAACGGTGAGGCTTCTTGACTCCACCGGTGGCTGGGGCGCTCTTACGAGCTGCCTTGGTGGCCAACTGCTTACGAGGAGCCTTTCCTCCAGTAGATTTGCGTGCGGTTTGCTTTGTACGAGCCATAGTAGTTGTTGGGCAAAATCGTCAGAAATGCAACTTTAACTTTCCCGGCAGAATTTATAAGAAAATCATGGAGCTAATATGATTGGTTGCCCACATCGAGATCTGTGATTGGTTTAGGGGAGATATTACACAACATCTGATTGGTCAATGTTATGGAGATCAGTGATTGGTCAGTAAAAAGTGACCCCGGATCCTCCCTTTGAGACTTCTACGTGAAGTTGAGCTCGGGAGAATTTCTATTTTGCAAAGAAATTAAGGTTGACTTGCCTTAAAGTGTAGCCAGATAATTATCTCTCACATGATTCAATATATTTTAACAAAATGGTGATTTCTTTCATGTTTTGACCGTTAAATAGTTAGTATTTCCCTTACCAGTGCTTGCAAGTGAGTTCCGAAGCATGGCTAATGTTTATGCATTTTCTTCCAATGACCAATGAACACGTAGAATAATGTGCGCCAAAACACACAGCAGCCAAAACGGAATCCTGAGAAAGAAATGGAGTGGAGAAATATTTGGTACATAGAAGATAACAAGCATTGCTTTACTTCGTTTTACCTGCATATTTAATAACGGAATTCGTATTTTTCTGATTGCATTCGGATATTTGTTTCACATATCTCTAGAATGTTGAGAAAATTGCATTAAACTCCTTCGTAAGTCATAAAAGCGTCATGAAACATTGTGCCTATTCATTTCCTTAGGACCAATCAGCAATCAGATGTTGCTTTGCGGTAATCGCCCAGAGGAGATTTCGGGATATCAGTTCATTACCAGTTCTACTTAAAAGTTATTAAAATCACTATATCCAGGTAAATGTAAGATGATTAATATTGAATCATTGTATTATTTTACAGGAACGTACTATTTTTGCGATACTATACGTAGTATAATCGACAATATCCAAGATTTTTTTGTGTCCACCGAGAGCTGAGTAGGTCCTGAATATTCATTATCAATCAACCAATAGAGAATAAAAGATCGATCAACGTACTGACCGCGCGAGATTAATAAAGATTACCCGTAAGACGTCCGCAATAAAGCTATAAGATCAATCGTGCAGCGCAACTAATTATTATTCGAATCGTTTTTGCTTTTGGGAGCTGAAGCTTATGCAAGAATCATGTCTGGACGTGGAAAAGGAGGCAAAGGACTCGGCAAGGGAGGCGCCAAGCGTCATCGCAAGGTTCTGCGTGACAACATCCAGGGTATCACCAAGCCTGCCATCCGCCGTCTTGCTCGCCGTGGTGGTGTCAAGCGTATCTCTGGTCTGATTTACGAGGAGACTCGTGGTGTCCTGAAGGTGTTCCTCGAGAATGTCATCCGTGATGCCGTCACCTACTGCGAGCACGCCAAGAGAAAGACCGTCACCGCCATGGATGTGGTCTACGCTCTGAAACGCCAGGGCCGTACTCTGTACGGATTCGGCGGTTAAACAGCGACGCCTATCAACAAAACAAACGGCTCTTTTCAGAGCCACCACAGTGTCTAAAAAGAGATTGATTTCTTTTGCCTGTCTTTATACTATCAAGGGGTTTCTCTGTCGGCATGTCCTAATGAGTGAGGACAAAAGTTTTCAACTGACTGTCGATTCCCAAATCGGCTTATTTCAAATAGTAGGCCTAGCCTACTTATGAGATTTCACATACGTTGGGGGTCGAGTACACATATTTAACAAGAACATTCATAAAGAATGGAAATGCAAACAAACAAGCGTAACACAAATTGCAGATCCTATTTCCTCCATTCTAGTCTTCCCTCAATTTTCCTCTTTCAGAACTAAACGGGAAAAGTGCGAGTACAATTAGCACAGAGGGAAAATCTTTCCAAAAAACAACTAATAGCAGGTGAATGCTCACTCATTCCCCATTCAGATGTAGGGACATGCGTGTGCTATTCCCGTGATATTTTGTCAATGGTTTACGAATGTACATGTACTGATCGGCCATCATGATCTCTTATGTTTTGGTTCATCTCAATTTTGGGCGTTCTCCAATTCTTGAATGCCTATTCCCCTCTTCTTTTGTGAATGCTGGAACTCCCATGGCAAACCACATACACGTACATGTAATTTCATGTGACTGTAAGACCCTCATCTTTTATTATCATCAAAATGTGCTCCCAATGGAATCAAACTGATTTGAATTGGCCAGCTCAAACAGCGATATGGCTTGAACTAAATCAATTTCATCAATGGCGTGATTCCGTTAAAAAAATTCAGGCCGGCGACAATAAGTGGGGGACGGGGACAGCTTGTATCATTTAGCCCCCTTCCACACACTTTTGTTGCCAAATACAAATTGTACGCTTACATTTGATTCTACAGCTCATGATGACGAAATAAAGTCTTGCAAATTTGGAAATGATGCCCCCAAATACTAAAAACAATTGGGTAAAGTGATAAGAAATTGCCTCAGATCTCAACACAAAGCATCTTGAAGCCAAACTTTTTCAGGGCCATCCCAGTGGACATCCCAGGGCTATGCACTTGGTTTTGCTCTAGGCCCCCCCCCCACTTTTCAGAAGTTGATGCCCTTGTCCAGTGATCTCTGAATATAAGAAGCACTCCGGTAATGGAACACTTTCACAAATGCAAAATATCCTCAGTTACGACAGGGTTCTGGTTACAAGGTTATTTTTATAATAGGGCTAGTCCTTGCAACCTTGTAATGAGAGTATCCCTATACATGTATATGGGAGAGCGCCCTCCCCTTTTCTGGTCATGTGGGGTTTTTTTGGAGGGGGGGAGTAGTATTTTTTAGTGTTCAGTTCAAGGCGCTTGAATAGGAAAATTGACGATGATCCAGCTGAGATCGGGTGTTTGTCGTTCTCGTTGGCCAGTAGACAAATATTGCAAGTCCAATCAGGAGAACTAGAAGACCAGACATCACACCAATGCTCAGACCTTCAAAGATAAAAACCGATTTGGGGAGATAAATACGATATTTAAGAGATATACGCAACAGTGTAAATATGATGAATGCAATTTTCAAATATTGAAGGGGTTTGTTTCCGATTCGGGGAGTCAGCTATTCCTCTCCTGCCACCTCTGTGGTCCGGGGTTCAATTCCTGGCTAGGTGCACATGTGGATTGTGTTTTCAATCCCTACTTGATTCTGTGGGTTTTACCCAGAATATCCCTCTGGGGTTTTTCTCCCACCTTTAAAACTGTAACAACTTCTCATTTCAGTGTGCCTGAATCTAAGAAGTTGGGGCATCTCTTTGGAACAAGAACAGTAGACCTACTGCTTAAAATCACAATTTCAAATCAGAAGCACCTAAATTTTGATTCTTTATGACATCACTGGGTCCCTGTTGTCCATGGCAACTACACACTAAAGCTAAAAGCTGCAGCGGCAGGAACAGGTTCCATGGATGCTGCTTCATACTTCCTGAGGTGCAGAATTCTGGATGAAGAGGTCCTGCAGATTTGACCAAAATACACGTACATGAAGATTGCAAAATTGACTCTAAATGACTAACTATAAGAAATTTTTTAAAAATCCAAAAGAAATCAGGGCCCTGAATAATAGTTAATATTAACCTTAGAACCTGCTTATATTTTATATTTAAGAAGTAATTGACTGTGCCGAGTGTATGTGGGGAATTAGATTCTCTTTGCGCCACGCTGGCGCACACTTTTTGAAAGCCATTTCATTCAACAAATAAAAAACGTGGCGCACTATTACTATTAGCAACCTTCTTCAGACTGAACTAGACCTGTACGTCTAACCTTCAGGATCAACGAGGTAAGAGTAGAGTACCAGTCTACAACATGGCGTCCAGCAGTGGAAAGAAGTAAGTGAGACGACGATCTTTTTTAGCGATCAGTGCCTTTATTTAGACCTCCAGCCAGTAATTGAAACGCTGTACTGTCAGCCTTAACTATTACTGACGCTGGATAATGCTGAAGAGGACGCAAACAGTGTTTTCTGAGAGACAAATCAGCTCTCGTTTACTAGCGTTAAGATTACGTTGGCCTAAAAAAAAAAACCAAATACAGCTGGTGTAGAGGGCGCACTTTCTAGCCGCCGTTTCTTAATCGTTTTTAACTTATCGTGAATTAGACATGTTGTTACGTTAGACTTAAGAGTTTTTAGATTGAACAGGACAGCGGATGGTCAGATTATAACAAAGTGCTTTCTACATGAGCCCTGTATTTCTGCTTATTATTTTTAAAATTTAGGTCATAGGCCAAGAATATGTTTTTAGTTTAGGCCTCAGTCAAAGTGAAAATTTGGTTGGCTCAGCCCTGCACATGCCTGGCTGAGCTGGTGCTGTCACATCACAGCAACCACATGGCAATTACACGCAAGCTCATCGTCCACACTGACGAACGCACTGCACGCATACTGCTGGAGCAGTTTGAGCAAGTCAACAACTGTTACACGTCGATCTACACACGCATGACCATGCTTGTAGGGCTATTCATGCGCATTCATATGCATATTCATGCAGCGCACTCATCACTCTCGTGACGTCCCATGTCTACTTAATGTACTACCAACGATTCCCTAATTCATCCCGAACAAGTTCAGCCAGTGGCACGGTTTCATACATAAATAGCATTCAAAATTTCGCAAATTTACCTTGCCACCAGGGAATCAGCAAGGTGTAGGTCCTCAGTTTCGCATCAAAGAAATCGAAGTTTATGTCAAAGGAATCCGCTAAATCATACGATTTTGGTACCCTTGGAAAGCTCATTGCAAGTTCTGTCGAAATGAGATGATCGTTGTGTCCTCATGTGGCCACTTCGTGTAGGATGTTTTTCGCTGTGGGCCTTGCCTTACCCCTTACCCTAGTCATGCTTATGGTTGTGCCTGAAACAGGCTTCCAGAGCTAAGGCAAGGTCTGTTGTCTGCACGTCTCCATGTATTTGCAGTGGAGTGAAGACCTAGGCTCGAATGCAGCCTATGTTTATTGGATTCAGGTTAATGGTTAGGCATTAGGGATAATAGCATATGGCATGGGGCAGTGCGGACATCCGGGAGTTTCACAAAATTGCAGTTAGCAACCACACCGCGCTGATGAAAACAGCTGCAATGAGCGTGTGTGTACTGACTGATCACAGAAAAGATTATGTAACCTGATCCTTGGACTGGCTGGTGTATGTGTACGTTGCCATGGTTGGTGTTTTCACCGGTGGAGTATCTGCCATCTTGCGAGAATCCTGGATGTCCGCACTGCCCCATTAGCACTTTTTAATTAGATTAATGGGTGCCATGGCAGTAGATATTGCCATTTTATTGGGCTGGACCTGTTAGCCCCAGTATGTTTTGCCCTAGTTGTTGCGTCAATGCACAGTCGAGCCAGTCGGGACAACTCTGAACATTCCATAGTGTGTGTGTTTTGGTTTTGGATACAAAGCAATAAAAAAAAAAAACACACACATTGTAAAATAAAAAAATCATGTCAGCATTCCCTCGTGCTCCTGTTTTCCATGTGTAAGGAGTCAACTGCTTGATCTGTTGATAGGGTTCTCAAGATGTTAAATTACTGATGAATAGATTGACTTAGTTCCAAGCACTGAGAATTCATCATGTTTTCCTGCCAGGTATGGATTGATCACCCACCAACCCAAGAAGGCACCCGTCCTCTTGCCGAAACTGGCAGCCTTCGGAGACTCCAGTGATGAAGAGGTACTACATCTTCTTCTCTCAAGCTGATTCAGCGGTACCTCTCTGGATGTGGTACTGGACAAACTTATGAAGATCTGTTAAGTGGTACCTCTTTGGGTGTGGCAGCGAACAAAGTTACGACGATCTGTTAACTGTATACTTGTGGAGGGTTGAGAAGTAATGAAATAATCAACCAAGGATTCCATTCCACATCTGTTGTGTATTAAGGTCAACATGGTCCTTTGTGCTTAGAATATAAAATAAATTAATATATAAATTCGGTATGATACAGGTGATTTCTTTCATAGGTGCATCTTAGTCTTGTGTGGTACTCCCGGTTCCGAGTGGAACCGCGGTTCAAAAAAAAATTCGGACTCGGCGGCTCTGCTTTTGTGTAGAACCGGGTACCCACCATTGGCGGTTCCACATTCAAAGAGCCGACTCCAAACATCAAATCTGAGTCTCAGTCACGGCTTAGCGCCCGTGAGTGACAACTCCAGTCGTCGAATCCGAGTCACCGCCGCTCCTGCGTGTACGTGTGCATTTAGCAGGGCACCCTTCCACACAAGGGAAAATGCGTACACAAATGAACTGTAAAATTCAAATGGGTAAAGTAAGTTAGATGTCATTTTCTCCATTGGAAGGTTTTTTTCCTTTTTTGTTTCCCAGTTTGCGTTTCTATATCTGTCCTTTATCCTGCTTACTCATGTCACTGTGTGCTTGACGATGCTTGCTGTTTTTCCAAGATCTGGTAAAATATTCCACAAAACTTGGATTGTTCACAGGAATCTGCTCACTCAGCCGTCAACCAGTCCCTGCAGTTTGAAGCGCAGAAACAGAAAGTTAAAAAACAGGTGAGAATAGGGTTATAATATTATTCAAATATAATCTATATTATCTATCTATAAATAAATATAATTCAAATATAATATAATCTAATATAATATTCAAATACCTCACATCATTGAGATGACAAAAACAGTTGTTCAAAATCGTTTAAGATAAAAATCAAGGTTTCACACACTTGATGTGTGCAGCACTGAAGAAGTGTGATCGTACTTAAAATGTAGGAAAGCACATGACATCCACATTGTTGGATTTGTTAAATTGGTCTTTTGGTCCTAATTGCCACCTGAAAAGCATTACAGGAAAAATATAGGGTCCAAAATTTGCCAAGCATTGTCCAACTTGATTTCAACAGAAAACGTGTATGTGTAAATGGCAAATTTTGGGGTTCCAAAGTTTTAAGCAGGTTATCCAGAATTCCCAAAGATATCTGCTTGACCCAACAGTAACTTGCACACCTCCTATTCTCATAGACTCAGCTTGAGATCCAGCGAGCTCTGGAAGAGGACCCAACCGTCTACGAGTATGACAGCATTTATGACTCAATGGAGCAACAGAAACTACAGAAAGCCAAAGCCTTGAAAGCCACAAAGGACAATAAGGTTTGTGACTCCTAACGCGTGCTTCTTAGAGAGACAGGTTTACAAAATTTGGGGGGCAGTGACCAAATATTCTCCAATTAAAAACATATAATTTTTCAATTTCACTTGGATTTTTGTAAATCTGTTCTCCTAAGTGTTTTTCCTCCTCTGCTTACTTTTGGAATTTAACAAATGCAAACAAACCATAAGAAGGCTGAAATTAACAGTCACAATTAAGTTGGACTGATTAATACTAAATGCTTTAACATTTTATGCTAGGGGGCTTCTAGAATGCTCAAAAGCAACTAGGTTGGCTTTGTTTTCATCACAGAGGAAATCTTTCTTGGTTTTACTGAGGCTTGTAGTAACTAATTGTTAACATAAGTCTGTTCGATATTAATTTCTTTTTATATTGGGACATCATGAAAAAATATCGAGATATCCGATATTATTGTGATGACGTCATTTTCCATTCATAAAATAAACACAACCGATATTGCCACTATGTCTCGAGCGCCTCTTAGAAAAACCCCAATGTATAAGCCTATGTGTTATCTCTACATTTAGAACTCTTACATGCTGGTGGAAAGCAAGTTTCAACATGGAAATTGTCAGATTGTGGACATTAAATATCATATCATGGCACCATATGGAAAAAGCCATTTCCAAGCACACATTAGCGATAAAGTTCGTTCAATAAGGCAACCCCCAAATGGACAGAGCACATGCTTGTTACTAGAGGGACTACTGGTATTGATGCCCTCACCTCATTTCAAAGTTGGCATTTCTAAGTCGTCATTCATTTCTCATAAGTCAGCATATTTCACTCGGTCCCTTTTCTACCAGACCACAAAAATCTTCATGGAAGTCAGCATTAAAAAAATCGTGCTTCGGTATCGTTTTCCTCCGCCACGGTTGCCAAGAAGCGTCAAGTGACAAGCCCCACACTGCTTGACTGACGTCTGTTTATTAACTGCACGTGGTTGAGTACATCAATACCCGCAAGGTCGCCTTATTGAACAAACTTAACCATAGGCCGTTTTCCAATACTCGACTTCGGCTCCGTCCCAGGCTTCAACTGTTTTTTACTACCTGACTTTAAAGTTGTAAGCGTAATAGCAAGTTTGATATCGGCACAAAACATCAAGTAAGATACAAAAGAGCCAAACATGACAGTTCTTCAGTTTAACTGAAACGCTTCAAGCCCACAACCAGGCATTGGTTTTGGAGACGAAGCCTGAGACGGAGATGAAGTTGAGTGTTGGAAAACGATACGTGTGCAGTGCGGTATGACGATCTTGAGTCCTGAGCGAGAGAGCCTACTTAGCTGGAGTTTACTGTACTATGCATTACATGTGCGTACAGTCTGTTGGTTTGATTCTGCCCCCTAATACTTGTAAGACCCTTGCAGGTGCTAGGGGCCAACAGTGACTTTGTGGTTAGAGGTTTCCAGTGGAGTATTTGTGTGGCCTAAATGCAGTAATGCAGGCCTCAACATGCGGTGCATTGACTTCCCTGTGTGCATGTACAGTACAGCGTTTGGAGCTTATCGCGATAATTTGCGGCATATCGATTTGCACATTATCCCGATATCCCGTGTTTTTACGAATGATACGATATCCGATATCAACATCATATCGAAATATCGTGAAATATCGTCATATCAAACAGGCTTGGTCAAACGTCATGATGATGAGGCATCCTCTGATAGTGTCTGATTTAATTAGATTCTGTTTCTGTCGGTGTGGTGCAATTTTCTGTTGGTTTTTTTTTTTCGGAAAGAAAAGAGTACTTCAATTTTTAGCCATCTCTATTGAATTGTACACACTGTTTGAATACACAGAATAATTCTCATTTCATTCAACTGTTCCTCCAATAGGATAATGCCACTCCTGACTTTGTGTCGTAAAATTTGCAAAATGAAGAAGGAAAAACAAATGTAAGGCATGAGTTATTGTTGCTTGATAGGAAGCTTCATTTTAGGGAGGGTCTTGGGATCTATGCCGTTACTTAAAATTGTGGCCTTAGATATACTATCTAGATGGAGTGCCAGTGTCCCACAGGTCAGCATGGGTTCTCGTCAACAAGCACTTAAATACAGTACCCCACTTGACAGCTCTGTATGAAACCAGCAACTGAATACAATTCCCGCCCATGGAAGTGTCACTTTATTCAAATCCTGAAGACACAAGTAATTCAAATAAATCTGCAAGTTTTGCAAAAGTTCGACACACCCTCAAATGGAACGGTTTCTGAACTTTTCGTCGATGACGTACAAGAAGTACCATCACAGTTCAGCTTGATACGTCAGAAGAGCTTTCTGAGACCAAGCACAGAGGAGATAGTAGAGACTTGTTAAAGGCAGGAGGGATACAGATATTTTGACTCGTATCTTCTACTTTGTGGTTACTCTCCTAGGCAAAGTTACTGGCAGGATCTAACAGAGCCTCCTGGCATCTTGACAAAATCGAATTTCTCATGAAGATCCTGCTCATCTCCCACGACAAGTACATGGAGGCCAAATCGAATTCCAGGGTGGGCACATTCTACGCTGAGATGGGTGGCATGATCGGGCACTCTGGCATCAAGGTGGAGAACCTCCTGAAGAACCTGGGCCGGGAGTACCGAGACATGGTGTGGCAGACTGAAGAGAACGAAGCCCAGGGCTTGCCTGTGCCACCTCGGCTGCGAGGCTCCCAGAAGCTCTTCAGTCTGTTTGAGGAGTTTGCCCAGATGTACGGCATCATGAAGGAGAGGAGGCACCGGCCATCCCAGCCTTCCCAGGGTGCTGCTGATGTGGCCAACAGACTGAACACGGTGGGCATCGACCCAGACATCCAGGGTGAGGTTACAGAACATGTTGGGTCAATTCAACACACTCCTTTGGAAGAGACCATGTCTGGCTCTACCACGAACTCACCGTATCCTGTCAGAGTTCAAAGAGAAGACTTTGCCGAGGAGCAACTGCCGTTGCAAAACAATGATGCAGTGTGCATTAACAGTGCTTCGCCTCCAGCCACCTCCTCAACCACGGCGGACAGCCACCCATTCCAGGCATCAAGACGAAAGAAAAGAAAGCTGCAGTCGGATCGTCTGCCGATCTATCCTGGCTTCATGAGGCAGCAGGGAAGACAGAGAACTTTCTCCAAGTATTCATCAGGGTGGACGTCAGCCAGGAACAGAGGCAAACAAAAGTCACGGGAGGGCAAAGGAGAAAGCCCCACCTGTCAAAGCGGCAAGAGAGCCTGTTCATGCCAGGGAAAGACATCTAGGTTTGAGGAGCAGCTTCTGAATGTGCTCTCAGGTATTGGACAAGAGCTCCAGTTGCTTAGACGAGGCTTTTTCACAGTGTACAACATCGGGGAAGAGCAGAACCAGAATGAGGACGAGATTGAGCATAGCAGTGGGGAGGATTTAGGAAGTATCACCGACGATAATGAAGAGAGATGCAACAACGCCTTGCCCAGTGTCGTATTTCCTGGAAACGAATAAACTTTTAGTCTATGAGAGTTGACCCTTTGCGTCTTCATCGGTGACAATTGGCTTTTAGACCATCAGGATTATAGCATTGACTTTTAGTTCTGAGTTGAAATAAAGATTCAAGATGCGTGTATGTACTTAAGTAATATACAAAGTGCATAATGGTATAGCCCAAAATGCTATGATTTGGGTACTTTGTCAAGAAGAGTGAATTTTTGGCGAATGATATGAAAAGGAAGATAGAAAATGGCACAATACTCCAACCAAAAGCATAACTGATATCAGCTGGAAGTAAAATTGTGATATGGCATCGGGAAATTTGGCTATTGCATGATAACAAAAGAATAACTCGTAAGATTCAAGCTGGACACCCCGACTGCCGTGGGGGTAGATGGATTTGATAGGATTTGGCAACATTGTCAGTAAAGTCTGTGCCTTCACTGCTTGGGAGGGTTTGTCCGATCACTCAAACTGAGCAAGACCTGTTGTATTGTCAATGTTACACGTACCGTAGATGTAATCTCTCTGTTGTAATCACTTTTGCATGGTAAGTTGGTCCGGTTGCGGTGTTAAGATGACCCACTGGGAGTGTTCGTCATGAACCATGCTGCTGAACATGACAATTCACATTGGTCTATTCATAATCGGCATTTGAAATTCACTTTACCTGAGGATTCCTGGAGTTCTACTGTCCAGTCTGATCATCATGACATTGAAATAGAGGAATGTCTGCAACTCAGAAGACAATATTTTCTTTAGGGTGAACCTTACCAATGTTCTGCTGTAACTTTGTCTTCTTTTACTGCAAGGATAGCTTGTGCAAAGCCTAACTTTATTCTACATGTACATGGAAACTTGTTCAAGAGCTTATCATATTTATTATCTTGCAATATTTGGGCCATTGTGCGGTCTGCCATTGACTCTGTTGTGGTCGGTCATCTCTTGATTTTGTCATTCTTTAACTTAAAACCTCTGGACTTGTTTTAGAAGTGAAAATTTCCACAAACTGTCACAAAAGGTTACCTCTCACTGCTTGTGTTTCAGTCACATTTATCCAGTACAGTAACTCATGCCTAAATTATGAACATTTAATTGATGGAATAAAAAAGAAGAAGTTAAGAACCTGTTCCATGATTTGTTGGTACCATTAAAAATAATTTCCAACCGAGCAATACGGGGTGGATCAAAACAATAGAAACAAGTCCCCCCCAAAACCCTGAATAAACTTTTATTTTTGAATGTAGACATTTGAAAAAGACGTCTTTGAAAGGCAGTCAGAAGCCAAATGAAACTAATGGAAGGATGTGTCAGAATCACAGTTTGTCTGGGGCTTGACGTTAACAACTCTAATGAAAAGTGGCTGTATCCACAACTGTAGACTCGTGCATAATTTCAAGTGGCAGCCAGGTAATTTGAACTCGGCCTTAGTGTGTTGAATGGGGTTCAGTTGAATTTCCAAGGAGATTGATATCAGTCCCATTCATTCTTTGGAGGAAATCCTACAGTACCACGGTATACAAACATGAAATCTTTTGGAATGCATATTTTTATTTTCCCATATGGAATTTTTTTCACAAATTAGCAAAGGTTGCTCAAGATGCTTCAATATATATAAAAAAATTACTGCCCCCAAATAAGCTTGTGAATATTTTGTACAGCCTTTAGAAATACTGGATACACAATTTTATATGTTGGTGAATAGCAAAATACCTAAATGAAATCAACATCTACCTTTGTAAACATTGCCTCTTGTAAAGAGCCCCCTAATAATGGCTTGGTCTAAAATTTCCACATCTTTTTGTCCTTTCTGGGATACTTCAATATAATATACACGTATAGTTACTGCTTAGGAAATACCCAGGCATGTCCCGACATCGTCAAAACTGCCCATTTGCCCCCTACCCGACAGCCCAAGTACATGGACCACCTCCTCAAGGCGGCGGCGCAGCGGAAACGGGAACAGGAGCGCCGGCAGGAGAGGAAGGTGCAGCAGGAGCGGGAGGCGGAGGGTGCAGAGTTTGCCGACAAGGATGCCTTCGTCACCTCAGCCTACAAGAAGAAGATGCAGGAGATGGCGGCAGAGGAGGAGAGAGAGCGACGGGAGGCAGAGATGGAAGGTGAGACCTGAGATGGCATTTTTTTTAGGGGGGGCTTGTACCAGCCTCTTCAGCCAAGAGCTCTTGGATTCTGCTTTATAGCCAGTTTATGTGCTTAGCCAAAATTTCATTTCGGTTGGTAACCTGCTTTTACTGAGCAAATATTTTGCTTGCTTAACAATTGTTCATGGTGATCATTACCTCACAAAATGCATGGAGGAAATGCTGGGGATTATGGGTAGCACATAGCGGTTTCGCCTGTTTGCCTTACCACAAGGGCTGCATGTTAGTCAAGCCGAAGTGACATCATGTGGACTGGGAGAATATTCCCAATCATACCTCAGCACAGATTTTTTATGTTGATGGTTTGCATGATGAAGTAAGCAATAGATGTAAAGATGATGAACTTCTGAAGTTACCAGGGGACTTGACATTTTGGATGGCATGGTCTGCCCTGCATAACGTGATTGAACTGCCATGCTGCAACAATTGTACGTGATGCCGTGATGCCCGCATTGTTTCATTTGACCTCAGCTGCCAACGATGTTACCAAACAGAAGGACATGAGTGGTTTTTACCGACACATCTTGGCTCAGACAACTGGTGAAGAGAACAAGGAAATCAAGTCGGAGGCAAGCAAGGTTGAAGATGAACCCAAAGTCAAAGCTGAAAAATGGTGAGCTTGGGACTGTTCTGCCTTGCTTTCCTGCAGAAGCAACATTTGATAAAATAAAGTAAGCATCAGGCCCATTGCCTGTCCAGCGACTGGGGGGGGGGCTCGTCAAACCCAAAAGTGGAACTTATTGCACTGTCAACACATCTTTTTAAACAAATGCTTATCATAATGTGCTTTGGAACACAACAGGGAACAAGTTGTATGTTTGTCGCGAACCAGAGGATACATGCAAGACTTGTATACTTCATTTTTCAATATTGGATAAAGTTAAGAAAAACACATTTGATTTCAAACCCTTTGAAACACCAGAACTTTAGATATTTGCCAGAACTTCCTGACGGTACATTGGATTGGAAAGTGACTCATTAATATGCAAAATCATGGTCACCTTCAGCCCTGAATTGGGCACTGGATGACAAGAGAATGGTATGAACATTATTTAATTAAAAATATATATTTATTATAAAAAAAAACAAACAGAACTCACCCCCCCTTGCCTGTGGGCCTGAGCACTGATATCATGACAGGCTTGGATGCTTTGTTAACTACATGTACATGTATGCATTACAGGTGCATTCTTAACTTCCCTTGAGGAAGTATTTATTTGAAGCGAAAATTGCATTATTTACCAGGGATGGGCACTTCAGTGCTCTGTGTTGGTGTATTGTGCGATGTCATTTTAGAAAGAAAACACAACATTACCCTGAAGAATGGTCCATTTTGTAACTTTTGGTATGATTACCACACTAAATCAGAACACTAATTGATGACACCAAGGAAGCACTATCGAGTATCAACTGAAGCAGGATACCAGCATCATATAAAGGACACATAGAGGTCAAACTGGGAACAATTTTGGGGGCTCAAATCTTCTCACGCTTAGAGAGGTAAAGTTTCTTTGCAACCTTTTCCAGGACACATCCTTGATATTATGCTGCTCATCTTTTTTTTTGCAGGGATAGTAAAGAAGAAAGGCCCCAGACTAACTCTGACAATGATGGAGACAACAGGGAGGATAGACACCGTCAGAGTAAAGACAGATCAGAGAGACACAGCAGAGAACACCATCGAAGCAGTGACAAACATCATCATGAAAGAAGCCACAGGGATGGTGATAGACACAGTGAGCGGCGCAGTGATAGACATAGTGACAGACACAGTGATAGACACCGACATAGGGACAGGCACTCGGATGGACACAGAGAGGAATGGAGAGATAGGGAGGACAGGCGCAGATCAGAGGAGGATAACACTGGCGCAAAGGATGAGAGAAGTGATGAAAGACACTACATGTCACACCAGTTGGAGAAACAGGATTCGAGGACTCCAGATGAAAGTGGATCGGATGACAAGTCACAGAAGAGGGATGAATCAGGGGAACCAGGAGCAGAGATATCACAGGATGGTGGGAAGAGCGGGCCCAAGGCTTTAGGGAGCAAGTTTGCCAAGAGGAACGTCGATGAGACGGTGATGTCTGCCAGAGATCGCTATCTGGCTAGGAAAGCAGGGAGGGGAAACACTAAGGCGCATGTTGCTGTTGATGATGACTAAAATAAAGACTCAAACAGTTAACTTTAATCGTTTAGCCCACTAAGTTGTACTCTTTGATCAAGCCTTGTTGCAAAATGTGGAGTAAATCTAGCCGTCCACCAAGTGAAGCTCTCTGTGGTTGGGTGTCTTGGAAATGTATGGACCACATTGGGCTGTGAATTTGCTTCTGTTGATATAATTTGTTCATGAGATATTGTTTTGCCATGATAAAATTGTTTTGATTATAAAAAGAGATATTTATCCATCTGAAGTTGTGGCTGTGTGTTGTGTTGTCATTTTTAGCGCCAATCAATTTTAGAGGAAATGTTTTACTGCGAGAAAAGTTCAAGTGATGTGGGGGAACTTGTTTCTTCGTCATTTTTCTTCCATTTTTAAAAAACAGCTTTAATGTGTCTTCTCCACTTCAGTGAAAAGACTGCATAGCTAAATGTTAGGATCTCTTTCTGGTCAGGATTTTGCAAATTGCTGACTAAATAAATGGAGAATTTTTGAACTTGTTGCAGAAAAAAACAATCTTTCATCTTTTCTTTCCATCAAAGACAAAAGACAAATTTCAAGTTAAATTACTTAGTAGCTTTATTTCACTTCACTGTTTTGTGAATTGTAAGTAGTAAAAATTTCAGTTAATGTAGGAAACACGTTCCATAATATATAACACATGGATTAATCATCAAAACAGTTTTATTTAGTATGTTTTTACAAGCTGCTCTTAAATAAATGTACAATAAATAGAGGGAGTAGTGTATATTGACATGTGAATGAAATCCAGAAAAAGAAGAAGTTAAATCATGATAAAAACTGTTTTCGTTTACAATAATTTACAAGTGTAAAGGTTCAGATTTCTGTTTACTTGTACATTTAAGTTTTCTTTTTCTCAGCGCTCGTTTGTCAACAGGTGGATCGCTAAAATAACCAGTTTCTAACAACTAAAAAAATGAAACTAAAAACTGGCTGCAATGTTAGATTGAAGTGTTTTCCTTACATCCTTTTGATTTGTTTCAATTATTTTCCTATCAGAGAAGCTGAAGGAGAAAGTTTTTACTTTAGGGCGTCAATATTGATAAATACATGACATAAATTAACTTCAAATATTGGTATATTCTCTAAATGCATGAACTTGAGAAAAGTGTTTTCCAATTGTGACAGAAATGGGCATTGTAAAAACATTGAGTCAAGCAACTTGATTCATGTAAATTTCGGTCAACACCCTTTCTCCCCACTTTAGTTCTCAAATTAGTAGCACGTATTGTTACAAGAGCATTGCCCTTGACACCAAAATATACAAATATGCAAAGGAAGAAACAGCAAGAACTAGGAAATTTGACTTCAGCTGCATAGATATTTTCCTGTTACACTGCACTTATCTTTCGACTGAATTAATTATTTGGAGAAATACTTTTCACGTTTATTTCCCCCAAATTGCTGATTTCCTTTTATTTCTTGGTAACGGAAATTTTTTTCAGTTTATTCTTCTATTGCACACATCTGCGATTACCTAGGATTATTATCTAAATAGAGTCCATTGAAAAGTGAAAATCATGAAAGATAACAAGCAGCCCAAATAAAACATCTACTTATATTTTTCAGTTCTTCAAAAAATGGTTTCTGCATGCACAGGAAAACAGCAAAAAATTGCTGCTGAACATTTCACAATACGTTAAGTAGTGTTTCCCAAACAAAACTGCACCTTACTGCAAGAGAAATACAGGTACAATTTTAATCTCAATCAAAATCCAACTCATCAGATTTGATACAGCGGGCGCAATGCAAGTCTTTCTTTCCAATGCAGAGGATTTTCTGTGTTAAATGTAAACTTTTAAATTTCCAATGAGACAATTGAGGTTGGAAATGAAAACCAAGAAGCTAGCGTTATATTTCATTCCATTTCATTATTCTGGTAAGTTAAACTAAGGAACGGTGTTATAAAATACCAAAGTGTATACATCACAAACACAATTGTGTGTGTAAAAGCCCTAATGTGAGAATCAGCACATGAACCAACACGGGCACGTGCTCCATTTGTTTGCACTTTTCTATACTAAATTTAAAATGATGTCAGATTTGGTACTCTATACTATAGATACAAAGGAAATACATTTTCTATCCTCAAGGTCAGAATCCTCGGTTGTAAAGAAATGACTGTGTAGGTAGGCCTTCATCGTGTTAGGGGCACAATTCCTGCTGTCTGGAAAGACAGGAAAGTCACAACGTTCTTGGTCTCCACAATGTCGATATTTCTGCACGTGTAGCAGTCCCAACTGCCTGGTAACAAGTCAATGTGCACTGGTCTGTGTGCTTACAGCATGAAGTTAAAATTGATTTTTATCTGAATGTGCACAAACGAGGGGTAAGCAAGACCACTGAGTGCATGGCAGTGGTGATTTCCAAGTGTCAGCCCCATCTTTCCATTTGTTCCCACTGAAGGGGTGCTTGAGCACGGAATGCATGGAGGTTGGAGTACAGTGAAACTCAACAAACTCCACAACATGAGCACAGTGCATTGTCAGCAGAAGAGCGTTTCTTTTTCGTATACTTTGTTGAGAACCAGTTAAGGCAGTGGAACCCAAACACAAAGAGCCAGAAATCCACTGTTAGACTTGCCTCCAGTCCTTCAGTCTAGCTTCCCGTATGTACAGTCCAGGACATCATTCTGTAAGGCCGATAGAAAATCCCTGTATCCAAAAAGGCAAAGCAAAACCAATGAAAAAGGGAAAATAACCTGCAGCAGTTAATGGTCTCTTCAAGAGATTCTTTCCCCCATACAACAGAATAAAAGTAAGCATGGCGTGGAGAAAAAGATACTGAACTCATTCAAGCAGTAATTGAAAATGGCATTCACAGAGATGCCACTTTTCCAGTTTTATCTGGATTTCTCTATTTTTTTCTAAAAAACAAGACCCTTGAAATTCCCTTTTCCCCTTCTGGCTCAAAATAAAAGGCTGGAAAAGAAAACTGAGTCCATTTGTGCTTGCCGCACTGTGCCGCCTTGCACGCCTTTTCTGGGCGTTAAGCGTGCTGAACACATTTATCACACAGCCTTGAATTCAAGTCTATCATGTCAGTCAGTGGTTCCCAATTGCAGTGGTTGTATGAATAGGTATATTGTACATAAGTCGAGAACCAACTACATCACGGTTGTGCTCGTGTTTTTTTGGCAAGCCGTGCCAGGCTGTTGATCAATATCTACAACCATGCTGCAATGTAACCTTGCACGGTTTGGAGTTAAAAATTTTATGATATACGTGTGCTTCATGCAACAGATTTCGTCAAAATATGGAAAAATGTAGAATTTTAGATAGAACGGACAACTTAAAAGCCATCAAATCAAACATGAAAAGTAAGTGGAACTTGACATGGTTGTAATGGAAGAGAATTCCTGTTGTTATGCGCTCTGCTCAGTACAATTGGTTGTGCGCTTTGATGCAATTTTCCAAGCAGATCCTGTGGCATCTCTGCATTCATTTTTAGCAACATTTGTGTGCGTGTGTGAAGCTATGCTTCAAGAAAGTTTAGTACTTTTAATATCCAAAGGTCCCAAAGCAGCTCCCCTTTCTTTGGCATCAGGAAAACTAAAAGCTTTCACAAAAGGGCAGAGAAGTCACTGGACACTCACCCTAACACAGGCTTCTCCGAATGGGGCACTACGTCTGGGACAGGATTTGCACTAGTCCTTGGCTTTGTTACAGCTGGTTTACCTGTTGATAGAGTGGAATGTGGTGATCATCTACAGGTGTGAAACGGTAATCATAGCGGGTAGGAAAAAAAAGGACACTCCAGGGAGAGTACCAAAATTCAGTATTGGGGGTTTTGTTTTGAAAGCCTTTCACTGGACCCTATTCTCATCAAGCTCGTGAAAATTGTACAAAGTAACACCTACAGTGTTACGCAGAAAGTGTCAAGCTGCTTTTCCAAACTAGCGACTTACTGTGCAGCAGTTTGATAGTGTACTGCAAACACCAGCTCTGAACAAAATGCAAATTGGTACTCCGTCAGTGAAGCATCAGAGCACTTTTCAACCCATTCACAGGTCATTTGACACACAATGATGGGATGATGGCATTTCTTACCAGAATGAGTAATACCTTGAAGTTTTGCAGAAGAAATATTCACAAATATTCACAAATACTCTGATGTTTCTAAGTCGGATATTCACAAAGTTTAACAGGTCAGAAAAGTGTTCAATCTTGATGTGAAGAGGTGTTGTTCACACGAGGGTGTTCCAAGTTTCTAAAACACTTCCTCTGCAATCGTGATTACAACAGCATCATTTAACCTCTGATTCTACCTGCATAAATTGTCTTGTGACCCTCAGAGTCCGACGATACGGTGGTCTTCTCCATCATTCGTGTGATGTTGCCAATGGTGGAACGAGCCAGGGGCGATGCATTCTGCAGCTCGGGATCTTGATCAAAGTTGGAATTGTATTCCGCCATCAGTTCTTCAACAGTCATCTAAAACCAGGGAACAACGGTATTTTTTAGTCTGTTCTCTTTAAGAAATTCACAGCAATCTACCCCGACCTGGCCATGGACCAAATAACTTCTGTTAAGAAAAGAAAATTTCTGTTCAAAGAAAATTGTTTTCAAGATCTCATTTTGGGAATGGGAATATGTTCGAAAATTTAGGGAAATATCCGAAAAAATCCATTTTATTCATTAAATTTGGGTAAAAAGATTTGGGTGGCTTTTCAAATGTCCTCTTGGAGCAAAATGCATTCATCTTCCTAAAACTAAGAGAGTCAATATTTACCTCCTTTTTAAGTTTTTGGCTTCCCATGATTTTAGTGAAATCAGTGTTTTTCATGTACTCCATCGCTGCTTTAAACGACACCAGTGTGTAGCTACATAAAAAGAGAAGACAAAATTAACCAGAGTAAGGAAGTCTGTTTAGAAGCTTTGACAACCTGTGAACAATATGGCAAAAACTAAGTACAGTTGAATTTTGTTCAAACAAAGCTAACCACTTTTTGCCGGTTGGAATTTGCATATGCGGGACGACTTCCCGGGCAATTTTCAAGATTTTCCGTTTTCAAAATTCTTTAAAAATTCATAACTTCATTTACTGGAAGTTAAGATCCACACGAATGACTGTCTGGTGGCTACTGTAATCTGACAGGCAACCTCCATTGACACCAAAGTATTGCAGCCAGGCCTGCTGCCAAGTAAAGAGCCCAGAATTGTGAGGTGTTACGTAATTTCCTTTGTTTCCGAAATTGTCTTTACAAATGCAGCCAGATCAGCGTGCAGCGGTATTGTATTGCTCATCGCTGGAGTGCTGGAGTACTTTTGTCCCCGCTGGTAAACCGCAGGCACTGAATGCCACAAACAGTGGTATACTGTTTCAAAACAATGACGGATTACCTCCGCTAATACCAGCTGAAAAATGATGGCAACTCCTAGCAGCTCGGTCTTTTGTTTCCAAGTACAGTCTTTTGTTACAAGGCCTAGCTCCTTTGTCCGATTTCCGTGACCCTGGCTATGCGTACAAACCCAACGTACCCGGTACCGGAAACTCCGGAGGCAAGTGGTTAAGGAACCAGACAATTGACATTGTTATAACCAGTACTTCATTATAAAAAATTGCAGAATTTGCTCTTTATAACAGTGTTCTGTTCTTACAGTGTTCTTTATAAAGAGAGTTGACTGTATTTGTTTTTTTAAAGGGTAGCCAAGTTTGGAAGATCAGATTTCTGTTTGGGGGGGTTAAGCTTAAAGAAAAATGGTAAGATGTTCTTCAATAATTGTTGGAAATTTTCATCAGAGAAATGTTAAGTTACAGGAAGCTTCATAATTTTACTCCAGAAAGCTTGAAATCTTGACAGCAGAATTTAGTTTTACAAACACACACACACTTCATTGATGATTTGGAAGAATTCAGTACTCAAGCAACAGGGTTGTTGCTATCTGGTTCATAAGTGACTTCATCACAAGGGCGGATGTGCCACCAACATACTTACCCAACATCGTTGTGGTCCGACTTGACCCAATGGAAGTGTTCCATGTAGAACAGGTTGCTGGCAAGGTACTGACACTTGGCTTGGCTAATCACCAGAACCTGGCAGGATAACATTATAAACATCCTTTAAACATGATTTGCTCCACTAGTTTATTTTTGTTGACTGTGTACAGGAACAGTGGACAGAGCCCCCATACTACCAGTAAAGAACACACATCTCACATGCACATACAGTGCAAGGTGGCAAGGTGCACAGGTCAAATTTTCGACAGAATGTGCACCAACTGGTAGCATCTGCCTGTGACAGAACTGCACCAGACAGCTATTACAGAATGTGGACCACAGAGCCATATTAGGATATGTCTCTGATCTCAAAATTGCTCTCAAACACCAGACAGCTATTTTGGCTACAGTGTGTGGTTGGTATAATAGGTCCCTACTTTAAGCTGTGAATTCCATTTAAGATTAGCTAACCTTGTTAAATAAGTGCAGGATATTGGTACCAGATATTGTATGATCCCCATATAGGGAAACAAAGCTGCTTTTTATCCAATCAATTCTGTTTGAGCGTCTTATGAAAATTCATTCAAGGACTTTCAAAGATGGAGTTTGTTAGGAGATGCTAAGGGAGCATCTGAGAAAACTAAAAGTTGAGTATTGAGCTCCAAGGTCTTCTTCACCTGTAGGGGTATGAGTTCATCGGATGTAAGGCAAGGCAGCGAGTAGCCGGGGGCAAGATTCATTCTGAGATAGGCGGACACTTCATCAGTGATAGCATCCTGAAAAAAAAAAGAAATGAAAAAGCTGTCACAAATTACAATACGCCTTGCCCAAAGGACAATTTTATGACTCACTAGTGCAAAGCAAAATCATTACATACAAAATGCAAAAACAAAAATACAGGTCGTCTTCATAATAATGAAGTGCTAACTTAGGTTACGCTTGCGGTTGCACCATGTACAAGGAAGAATTTCTTTTATGAGTGTGTGGGTCTGAGAAGAACTGATGGTGAACCACACACTCATAAAAGAGATTCTTCCCTGTACATGGTGCAACCGCAAGCCTAACCTAATTTAGTACTTCCATCATGCATGGCTTCAAGTCTTATCCCTAAGTGGCCATGAATTTCACAGATATAGAGCTCTGTATTTATGAAAATCAAAGATACCTACCAATGTTGATTTCAGACAGAGTAGTTTTTCTTGAGGGTTATTAATGCCGTCAAGTCTTGCCAACTCAACCACCTGGAAAACCAGTGCCAAAACTTAAAAATGACAGACTGACATAATTTTTGTCAAACAGCTTCAGAAACACATGGATCACATATCAGCACAGAAAGCAAAAAGTAAAGTCCAATGAAAGATGGTAAGACGAAATCAGCAAATAAGTTAGAAATTAAAATGGGTGTTAAGTCTCACATCTAGCAAATCTTTTTCCCAAGTGTGACTAAAGAGCAGGTTAAATGTTAAATCCAAGTTTGCCATAGCAACCCTAACCCAAGGGCTGCTGGCCCTAACCTTCCCTATTCACACAAAGTTAAACACCCATATGGGACTTTGTGCACAGAGGCTGTTGGACTTTGTTTTTCTGAGGTATGCCAAACCCAACACAAAAGCCAGCTGTTATGGGCCTACCAGACCTATCCCCACAGAATTAAACACTTTACTACTGTTTAATTCTGTGTGGCTGGAGTAGGTTAGGGTTAACCGTAGATTCCCACCTATTCACCTGTTGATTCACTGAACTCTTTGGCTACTACTCAAAATGATAAATTATTGATAAGGCAATATGGGTTTCAATTTTTTGCTAGAGGGGTGTCTGAGTGTTTTTGGACACCACATAAGTCATTTTAGACACCTTATTTTATTACACAACGCATATGAAAAGTATAAACATGAGCAACTTGGATGCACTGCTTTCAAATGTCAGCTTATGCACCAACAGGTTTCACAGGGAATCAAACTCACAGCTGCTGGCAGTGGGCAGCAGAAGTCTTTTTTGACCCCCAGCTGGTTTGCCTTGACCCCTTGCAGCTCTTGGACCCGCCTGTACAACACCTGGTCATCCTCGGCCATCTGCTGGCAGACTGCCTTGAAGACCTTGGTGTGAACTCCGCCCATGATGTAGCTGATTGCACGTCAGCATGCACAGCAGTAGAAAAAAAGCAACTGATTAGTATTAGAAAAAGATCCAACTTACCAGCATCAACTGCTGTATTATCAGATAGTACAAAGAGTGAAAGTTGATAGCATCTAAAACATTGCACGATCCACATGACATTGTCTTTTTGGTTTGTTTTGCCAAAAGGGCCCATGTTCCATCCTTCCATGAGTTCCACGAGCGAGGTTTGGGCTTGTTTTTTGGTTGTATGTTTGGTGGATATGCAGTTTGCTATTAGTCGTGTACACGGCATGCCATTCTCACCTGTGATCACAAGCCTTGGCATTCTTAAAGAGAAATGTTAGTGCTGTCAGCGGGTCCACGGTTGATGTTACATAACTCACCTCTCAAGTGCCACTGTTATTGCCTCTTCCAACCTACTGTCTGACTGTAGTCTGATGTAGTTATTTGTTTCACTGAATGCCTGATAGCAAGGACAGAGATATTAGCAGAGATTAATCTGATCTGTACAGAAGCTTGAAAAAGGTCAATTAGAATACCCTGAGAAACAGATTTGTCTGAAATGGGCAACCAGAACTTTCTTTTCACAAACCTTCACAAACCCTCTACATAAAAAACAGAAGACGCAACTAACTAAATGATTCAATTTTTGTATAAGCAAAGGTCACTTCGGGAAATCTCATCCATTAGTGAGTTTACCAGTATTTGAAACTCACAAAAGAAGGAATATGTCTCAATTAACTTGAATAACATTGCAAAAAAAAAAGATATGGCAAAAGTAGCTAATTCACCCTGAGTTGAAGTGCGCCCTCATTGGCGAAAGAAAGACAAACTGGTAGGAAGTTTTCCAACTGGGTTCTAGCACAAAGACCACACATTCTAGGATAAATTCATTTCACGTACTAAGCGCGTACAAAATCATGTTCGTTTCCTTCCTCAACTTAGCTTTGCTTATTATTCAGGGTCGTCCACTAGAGCGTCATGAGCTTTTGTAATAGCAACAAGATGTCTGATGAATTATTTTGTTAGTCAATGACCTTATGTAATCAAATATGCAGAAGCCTTTTTTGAACTGTGAAAATTCCTTCATTTTCTCTCTTCATGTCAGAAAAATCATGATGTTCTTGCAACTGGGGTTTTCACAAGGATGTGAAACACATAAATATGGAGCCAGCGTTGAACTAAAAGCCATCCTGATGGTCATTAGCTTGCAGAAATTATTTTAAAGACAGATTCACGAACTTAAAAATCAGGTTCACTGTGATTTTAATTCTGTCACAGCAATTCTTTGCCTAACCGAAAGTCCAGTCGATATTTGAATAGTGCAGAATTTAGCACGGTTTAATGGTGTTGATAAAAATCAGTTCATGATGCATCAAGGATTGATAATCACTTCTCATGACAATGTTACATAAAATGGCTTAACATCTCTTTTAAAAAACTTTTTGGCTTTATCATGTGTGTCATTACAAACGTCTATTGCAAATATATACGTGGGGTATATCTTCAGGAAAATCCCTGCAAGAACTATTTTTGACAGTTTATGTTGCACTCTATGTTGGCAACAGCCAAGGTACAGTGTCTCCATGTGAGACTATAGCATGTACAAGTATCGATCACTGGCTACGGCTCTCCACCACTGCCTATTTTGAGCAAAATTTGAAGCCGTAGTTGCAGGAGACAGGACCGAATTATGGCTACCCCTAGCATGCGCCACCCCATAGAACCCCATGTATTAAGTAAATTGATACACCAACAGTGTTGGGTGAACATACGTCAAATGCGCATTTGCTGGCTTGCCTATGCAGCAAAGTCGTGCCAAAGGACTGTCAATTTTATTTTAAAACAGGCCCTCTTTTGTTCCCGCTTGGAGCAGATTAAAAAAAAAAAGGATTTCATCTGTCTACCAACCAGTCTGGAGTGTTCCCAGATGCCTCGTAGCTTGCATGCTGTATCCATGAGGTACCCTGGCAGTATCATATACGTCTGGTTGAACTCAGAGATCTTCATCTGCATATTGCTCAGCTGGGCACGGTTCTCATGGAAGAGACTGAGGAATTTACAATTCCTTTTTGGGGAAGAAGCAAGACACGGAAGGCTTTCGTTATAATGTTCACATTTCTCCTGGGATTGTTGTGACCATGAACTGTTATCTATACCTTAATTAAGGATGTTTTAATACTCCGTGGGAATTGGTCTGAAAAGTCTGGTGCTTGCGTGTGATCGACATGTAGGCATCAAAGTAACAAGGCTAACAAGCTCTTGGACAGCCCAGAATGCAAATTGGTCGAGTATAATCGAAATGTATCCACCAATAAGCAGCAGGGCTCTCAAGTTTGTGGACAACACTGAATTTATACTGCTTAATAAAACAATTTGAAGGACAAAGCCCACTATTGAAACTTTTGTCTTTTGACATAAAATTCTTTCAAAGCCATTTCTCCCAAACTGCATTAAAAAAGTGCATATAAAAGGAAAACAACGTCTGTCACTTTTTCCTGAAAGAGTTTTTACTCTATGATTTGCAGTTTCTGCAACTGTTGGATTGTATCCATAATAGTTAGAGCCTGTTTCCAAACTTACTCTGCATAGGTTGTGCGTGGTGTTAGAAACTCATCAGATAATCCCGCTGAACCCCTCCTTCCCTGTGGAAACAAACAATCCAACTGCATTTCATCAGCCGACCAAACAGCCAATCGGTTACAGCCATGCTACTAGTAATATCACTTCCTCTCATGCAATGCCTTACAAAATCACTCTGAATTTATGAATAAAATGCATCAATCAAGATAATTAAACAGAATGCAAACCTGTTTTCTAATCAGTCTTATTATGTGACCAATGTTTGATAACAGCGAACAAAGTATTCTGCTTTGCCAAGGAGCATAAAATTTGAGAAGGGTCAGGAAACATTTTTACAGATGGTACTATCTATCATTGAGTCTTAAATACAAACCAATTTAAATCTTATCTGAAACTTACTTTTCTGGCACCCTCTAGCGGTCTCTCGATAATCAACATCTTGAATGGCTTGTAATTCTGTTCAATGTACAACAACAGTGCATTACTACTTAGCACAGAAGGCTTAACATAAAAGGACTGTGCCCTTGCACACATCTTGGTTACACTCTTTGTTCCAGGGTTCTAGCTTTCAGCTGCCCTTGTCGGCAAATGGCAAATATTCACAAACCTTGACTGTAATCCTGAGTAGCTGGCAAAGTACGGGCTCCAAGAATGTGCATTTGGCTGAAACTTTTACTACTTGACATTTACTGTAATCCCCCTTGTCCAGCTTAGCAGAAGCTTTGTTTGCTTTCTTTTTTTCGCATCTTTATTCCTTGAATTTATTTTGTTGTCATAATTTTCTACATGTATTTTGGGCATATTCCACACATGGCATTATGGAAATAAACATTGTTGAATTTGAATTGAATATAACCACCCCACCAAATTTCCTATACACGCACCTTATTATAGCCCAGCTCCTCTGACAACACCCTTACGGTATCTTGTTGCCTGAATCCTTCTAGACATGTTATGATGCCATCCTCCACAGATATCGTCTTGGAATTGTCCTTATCTGTGCTAATATAATGACTGAAGACACAAAAAGGATTTCTTTACAACTTAAGAACTTTAAAATCACGCCATTGAAGTTTTACACAAATAAAAGCAGTGGAATTTGGCAGAGGCATGAGACTGCACATTCCACAAGCAATTTAGCTGGCTGCCAAGTGTTGAATATCTTTGTAATGGGCACCTGTTTCTCCTAAAACACAGGTATTAACTGTAATGTGCATTTCTGAATTATTATCGGTCTTTACTGGAAAAAGCCATAAAAAGGGACCTTCAGAGTGTCATGCCACTTGAATTTCATAATGAAGATTTAAAACTTTCCGAAATATGGTGCTGCTGTAAATAAATTAAAAATACTAGCACCTGATGAATGAATGCTCGAACATGAAATCCAAAACTGCATTCCTCAGTCCTTCAAAAACTTATAAGCTTTGTGTGTTCAAATGTGATCAGGTAAAGGATATGAATAAATGATTTATAATTACAATGAATAACTGCATTTATAGTTTTAAAATTCTGAACAAAGAATTTCAACTGACAGTTACTCACTCTTTTAACATGGGAGATGGTTTCAGTAAATGTGTTTCTGAAAAGAAAACAGCATAGAAAAATTACGTTATATTTGATCATCTCAACAAGAAACTAAATCAAAATAGTTCAATGATACAGCACTTCAAATCTTTTCAAATAGTGGACAGAGCATTTATAACAACCCTGGCAATGGGAAGAAGCAGAAAATCTACATATTTCAAAAATTCTTATCTATCGCAGCCTTAGTGTCATATGAAATTTGGACTTGCATGGCCTGGTCTCTATTTTCTTTTATGGACTGCAAGTTACCCACGTCCTTGTTAGTTACCATTGTTCTGCACAAGCTCGTAAAAAAAAGCCATGTACAATACAGTCAATGAGTCTGTACTTCAAACAGTCTAAATTTTTATGCGACACCGAGACCTATTTCTTCAAAGTGAACAGGCCTCAAGTTCAGCTTAGTAACCAATGAGAACTTGTGTACTAATACTTTCAGTGACTGACACACAACATTTACTGTCAAACAAATGCTGAATACAATGGTGCTGTCAGAATATATAAGGCAGGAGTCAAGTTACTAGGACAAGACTTACGAACAAGTCCCAGGCTGATTGATACTCCAACCAACGAGGCAGTTTGCGGGATGCAGACTAGGTAGCAGTTGTCTTGAGCAATCTCAAACTCACCACGGAACCTTGTCTATTTTGAACATCAGAATGAAAAACAAATTAAAGCAACCTATGCAATGTAGGTGAATTACCACATGTCCACCACAAACCTTGTGTGATCACTCAATCATGCAGAAATACACCTGTGAGGTTGATTGAGAACAGAAATGCATACATGCTTAATGGTGCTTTTCCAGGATGTTCACACAAGGTTACAGCAATGTACATGAACCAATTTCATCCCACACCTGTATTATGTTAAATTACATCCTTGCCCAATCCAATGTCCGAGGGGCTATGAATGTCGTTATTACTGTGGTCCCTTTGAAGAAATGGTGAATGGATTTTATTTATGTAAAGATCCACAATTTCCTTTGAGATTTCCTGACATCGCCACCCCCCTGCTTCCAAAATGGTCGAGCCGATATGTGATTAGTGTGGTTCCCTTACCACAGATTTCACAGATGTCTCTCATAATCTTAACAAGAGTAGTCGGAATTATAGGGACTGGTATCCAAAGCAACATAAACGTTCATTACGCGAATACCTTGCGTCTGTTCTTTGTCGTGTGACATACGGCTACAGACAATAATGTAGGTTAAACTCTACAAAAACACACGAACCCGGTAGTTCGATATAGGTAGAATTTCAGTATAAGGGTCTTTAGGGGTAGATTTGCTCCAGAAAGCGCAAAATGCCATAGTGTATGGAACCATCAAAAATGTGGCCCCGGAAAGGTCTACTATGGAGTACAGCAGATTCCCGTTATAGCACTCTCAACGGGACATCCTGACTGTTACTGCATACCCATTCATGGACAGTCCAATCACTGACTTATCCCAATAACCATGTGACCACAGAAAGTGATATGTCATCAGAAAACCCAAGTGAAAACGGACCGGAAATGTCACACCGAACACAATCAGCAAAAAGGCGAGATTTGCTACACGAAGATACACGTACAATTTAAGCTGCTGATTTTCTTTATCGGTAGAAAGAATCCTTTAGGTAACAAAATACTACATGTAGGTTGTAGGTCAACTTGACCGTTTGCCAACTCGACTCGAGACAACTCGACTCCTGACCAACTCGATCGTTGAACCAACTCTTTCGTTGACCAACTCGACTTCAAACTCGAGTCAACTCGACCAATTACCAACTCAATAAACCCACGAAATCAACTGAAATGCAATCAATAAATGAACTTGTGCCAATGAGATACCCCCCCAAAAATTCCCAATTTGAGAAGAAGCATGCACACACAAACCCCCGAAATCTGTCACCCACTGTGCGCATGCACGGATCGCATCACGAACAGTAAAATGAATTACATGCGTGATCCAGAACTAGGAAAAAATGCGTTCCTTCAAAGTCCTGTCCCTGTTGCACCATTTGCACGGTCGAGTTGGTGGAGAGTTGAGTCGAGTTGGTCGAGAGCCGAGTTGACTCAAGTCGAGTTGGCAAACAGTTGAGTTGACCTGACACCACATGTGCATGTAGTGGTATGTCAATGTTGATTATTTGTGTCCCTAACTACACGGTGTAGTACACCACGAGAATAAATAAAAAGTGGGAAAATAATCACTACAATGTCACCACAGCAAAGCCTCGTGGGCGCGGCTCACTATGGTGAGCTCGTGCTCGCGATTGCGCTGCATGGATGTCTCAGTGTGTGTCTGCACTCTGTGTGATCGCTTAGCTACTGGTGTCCAAGATGGCCGGCCGATTGCAGGGGCCTTGCGATGCGGTTTCATATGCGTTGATTTTCTAAGATTCTGATTTTCCAAGGTAAAGGGCGCTGTAACCGGAATTATTTCACACATTTTATATATGGTTCTCCGGGCCGAAAATTGTGAGCATTAGAACCTATATCCCGAAAAGCGTACCCCAAGAACTGTGGGGTCCGATGTCACAGGAGCGGACGTCGGCAAATGGTCGGACCCCACAGTTCTGGGGGTACGAAAAGCATTGTAAACGGGAGCGCTAACCACATAAAAATGTACACAGTGAATGGGCAAGCAGTTGGGGAAGTGCAAATAGAGCGTTATATCGGTAAGAGCGTTATATCAGGGAGCGCTATAGCGGGAATCTGCTGTAGTACCTTACCGTTCGTGAAGAAGCCGTGGCCGGCCATGATGTAGCCTTATCTGCTAATGCCTGCCGCGCCGCGGTCCGGTGGGCCTAACGTTACTTAACGTTAGCACTTTCCCAATCAACAGACAGATCGAGAACAAAATGAATATCATTCAATTGAATGGATATACAGTTTCCATTTCCACTGAATTCAATCATATTCACACGGCCAGTTTAGGCAGAAATACCTGTAAACATTTGTACATCGGGTTGAACTCCAAATCGTCCTGCTCCGCCATCTTGTCAACTGTGACCCAAATGAGACAACAATGACCAATCAGCGTTCGAGAAATAACTTGACCCGGAAACACTTTGTGACGGCAGAAGGTGCATGACTTTTCTCGAGAAGGGATAAAGCGTACGGGAAACGCTCATGAGAAACAGGGTAATTTACGAGTTTTGGGAGATTATTTGTCATTTATGTGCTGTTTACTTGTTGCATATAATACAGAGAAGGTGGTATGGCGTTAAGCTGTTTAATAAAGGAACTTGCACCATTTTAAATTAACTCCATAAAAATTGATAGGTGAATTGTGAGCCTGTGATGTGTACTTGTATGTGGGAATCAGTGTTCAGTGAGATGAGATCCTTCACTATATTAGCGTATGGGATTGAACTGGGTGTTTTTGGAGGGGGTACGTGGTAATGGATAAGCATGGTGTGTACAAGGCAGAAAGGGGTAAGGAATTCAGTGTGTCATTTCATCAGATTTTTTAATGGTAAGCTGAGCATTAAGTCAGGGTTGTGTACATTCAGTCTGGGAAAGCACAGTATGACTAAAAAGTGAAAAATAAAAGAATGAGGCACGAACACATGGAGGGGGGAGGGTTGTGGCAGGAGGGGTGTGTGGAGGAGGGGATAGAGAATTCCTATTGCTGAAGGGAAGTCTGGCTTCAATATCACTTCCCTCTCGGCACCAAATTGAGCCCGTGGCATTAACGTACATCACTGACTCTACCAAATACAAAGGTCGGATTTTCATGACACTGTTTTCCTTATTCTCCCACGCAGATGTCAGGCAAGCGAAATGCCAGCGAGGTTTCCTCCTCGCCAACACCTGGTGCCTCCACCAGTGATGGCAAAGAGGGGGCGGAGCCAGCCGCCAAGCGTATCCACATTGAGCCCATGCGGCTGGGGGCAGTGTCCTCACAGGTGAAGAAAAGCCCCCCTAGCCCAATCATTGTGGTATATTGTTTATTGATAAAGCAACCCCATCTAGTTTGCAGATTCTTCTGTCTTCCAGTATTATGCAAAAGCTTCCTGTGAAATATACTCATACATTTCTCTAACCCTACTCATACAAGAGAAAACCCCAGAACCTGGAAAAAGAATGAACAAACATAACTACTCACAATCTCAACAGCTAGGGGAACCTATTCAGCTTGTGTTCCTGAGCAAGCCACACAACAGCAGTTGGATTTCTCCACACTTTTAGCAAAATGACACATTTGGAAGGCTTCTTGTTGTAACTCTTTTTGAGGGTCCTTTATTTGGCAGAAAAAGGATCCAAATTGGACAGCACTGGGTATTCAGGTTACAGCATATTGGTTATTGTCAACCTGACTGTATAGTAATAAGACTTGATTTGAGGAAAGGACTAACAGCAGTACAAAAGCTTGTCCCCCCCTCCCCCTGAAAAGTAAAGCAGAGTGTGGCAGATTCAGAAATTATCTAGGCCAAGTTGGATCACTATAGAACAGTCTTAGTCTTGTTTCCAATTGCAGGAGGAAATGGACATCAAGGTTCTTCGTTTCCAGAATCGGAAGCTGGCTGAACGTCTTGAGATGCGTTCTGCCATGGAGAATGAGCTGCGCAATCGCATCGAGCGCTTGGAGCAACGACAGGTGACAGACGAGATTGTTCTCAGCCTCATGAACAAGTATTGGACTCAGGTAATCTAAGGATTGGGTTTTTCTTTTGTTTTAGTTGCAGTAGAGTCATTCCTCACATTTCGAGTACTGGTTATTCATTTGTTGATTCATAGAGCCTGAAATTGATGAAGTGTGTTTCATTAGGATGAACATCATAGGAAATATGATGTGAAGTGAATAAAACAATATTTAAAAGACTAGAAAAATACCATACTGGTGCAAAATAAAATGTTCTTTAAAAAGAATGAATGAGACAGCATCTTAAGGGTTAGGGAACATTTTAAAACCTGCTTTATAAAGATCAGATCATTGAAGTGAAAATTATGTATTGTTCCAAATTATCTTCACCTTTGGTAGCCTACTATTTAACGTTCATAGTAGAGGGATTGCACCTCACATTTTTGTGTGGTTTCCTTGCCATGTCAAGGAAACTGTTACCAAGTACCAGGTGTAAGTGGTCTATTAGTTAATTTGGAATATTGGAAAATTGAATGGATTTGTCATCAGCTTTTTCAAACACAAAACTTTTAGCATTAACCCTCTTAAAGTGGGAGAAGAGGTTCTTACATTTGTTTCAATTGAAGTGAGATATTTGTTTCACATCAGGTTGTTAGAAAACCTTTGAAGGCAGATTCTCCCTAAAGTGATGTGGCCCAATTTTTTTCTGATGTTGTTGGATCAAATTTGACTTCTCTCCAGCTGGAAGAAGATATTCGCATCCTTCTCATGAGGGTGGAGACAAAATCCATTCCAGAGGTCAAAACAGAAACCAGCCAAGATGTTAAACCCAGCATCAAGGAGGAAAACACAGCCATGGAAATGGGAGAAGCTGCTGGAAATGAGGCCATTGGACCAAGCGAGGGCACTAGTCAATCTTCAGAGATAGCCGAGATGGAGATGGAGACGGAGTCGGAAAAGAAAGATGTGACACCCGTCAAAGAGGAGAAAAAAGGCATGGAAAGTCTTAAAAAAATCTTCATGAAAAACTGTTTGTGGATCACCACATGTGTTATAAAAAAGGCTGTGTCCAAGGTATTTGACTGGGGCTTAAACCGATGCAGGAGTCTATGGTTGGGGCTGTAGTCGCTTCCCATAGAGTTGTGTGTAAGTTAAAGCCACAGCCAAGTAATTCGGACAGGACCAGAGTTGCATTACAGCAGTTTTAAGAGCCAAATATATATTGGTGCATTGGATGAGGGTCCAGACTCCTTGCCCCTAGCAAAAAGATTTTGAAATGCATACTCTGTACGGAATTACTTTGAATGGTTTTGTCAATGTATGTGCAAGCTCTATGAGGAAAAAATTGAGGAAGCACAACTTAATTTTGGATTTTACCCTGCCCGACGTGTATTTAACATTGTATACTCAGTGTATGCCCCTGAAGGCTTGTGAAAAAAAACACAAGTGTACTTGGGTGGGACTCGAACCCACGACCTCCTGCAAAAATCCAAAATTAATTTACATCTTCCCGGCACAAATCCGTCTTTGAAAAAGAAGCACAACTTGGAAGAGTTCTAGGGGAGGGTTACAAAATAAGGAGGTTTCTCATCAGTATTCAAGCTGAACTGAGTACAGAATACAAATGAACCATGCTGTTCAGTGATTCCTCGTCTTGGATTTGTCTTTGACTCAGAACCAGAGACCATCACCTCCTTCTTGGCCACCCTGGCAAGCTGCGACCAGACTGAGATTGACCAACACATGCAGGAACGCTGCAAGTTCTCCCAGGAGGCCGTGACTAGACTGGTCTCGGTCATCACCGCCATGCAGGACATGAGCAAGACGGTGGCAGCCGACATCCAGAACAGAAGTAAAAAG